CCGTTCTCATGTGGCAGAAAAATACTTTGTGACCTGTACCGGGCGTCCGGGTGCATTAGCTAGCTGCTGAAGCGCTTCCTTGGACAAACCCATCAGAGCGCAGTAATAAACCTCTGCTTGGTTCCTGAGCTCTACTGGGATTTTAAGAAAGCACCGCTTTGTGCTGTGGCTCTAAGCCCCGAGGGTCGGCTGGAGTGTCGCGTTGCCTCGAGTGCTCTTAGCAGCCGCAGCCTCTCTGTGTGGTTCTTGTTCTCCACTCGACTCGTCTGAATGTTGACCAACCCCAACTCCCACTCACCGACTCTACTCTGGTGATTTCAGTGACTTGCCATGGCTGGGGGTGATGACTCAATGCCAGAATCGATTCTGCTTTGTCGGGTTTGTCCTGTCCCAGTTGGTCACATATGTTCTTCTGCAGTGTTTTTTTTATTGTTCATAACCTAAAGGTGATGTCTTTTTTTAAATTTAGTTGGCACTCTGTCGTGAATATTTCCGTTGAGTCAAATGATATTTGATCCGTGCCATCAGTACTTCTGTGTCAGCTTGGATTGATTTATTGATTAATTTTCTTTTATTGACACATACACACACAGTTTAATTTACATGCCCAGTATCTGTTGGCACGGTTGGCTACGTACAGTGCGAAAGAAGTTCAACACACATATATTGCAGGTGTTCGATAGAACGTTGCACCTCAAGACCGTGAGAGATGGCGACGGTTTGGGGAGGCCCAAATCCAGCAGTGGATAGATCACTACTGCTGATATGTACGTTGAACTTCTTTCGCGCCATACGTAGCCAACCGCGCTAATGGGAGGTGCTGGAAAATTAAAGAGTAGCATCGGCAAAGGGCTTTGTTTGTATTGTTTGCAGTCGGATAGCATAACCTGCATCTCATTCAACTTAATTTCATTGATGAATGGCTCTTAAAGAACAAAGAGGACATTCATAAGCCTTTAAGGTTTCTATTGATAAAGTCACAACTGAACATTGTTCACATGAAAGGAAACTGTGGGAGATATACTCTCTACTTGATGCAGGCTGACCCCAGCGAAAAGTAGCGATTCATTCCCGCAGACCTTCTGATATTTAACCTGCAGAAAACAACACCGTTTCATCTTCTTGGTTCTTTTGGTAAAGTCACGTAGAAGGGAAATAATAAAATAATAGAAATAAAACATATTAAAATACAATTCTCACGACGTTTCGGCCACAACGCAAGCAGCCGTCCTCAGGTGAATAACAGGGCTGTCAGAAAGACAGCGTCCGGACGCCCTGTTCTTCACCTGAGGACGGCTGCTTGCGTTGTGGCCGAAACGTCGTGAGAATTGTATTTTATGTTTAATTTTTATTATTTTATTATTTCCCTTGTACGTGACTTTACCGAAAGAACCAAGAAGATGAATCCCTGCAGTCACGATAGCTTTAAATCGAAACACTGTTTTAGTTATCATACGCATACCTATCCACAATAGAGGTTTTTTTTTGGGTTAGATCACGTAAATATAAATGCGTCGTTAAACCCGCTACCATCCGACTCGGCAAATTAGTGAGGTTTGTCACGAAAACAAAACGTGCCAATTAGTTACTATTTCAGCACACTGGTGTGTTGGAGGGTAAACCCACAACATAATAACGATTTTTTTGGTTAGATCGCATAAGTATAAATGTGTCGTAATCTTGCACCACCCGACAGAGCCAGTAAGGTTTGTCACGTAAGCGAGTAGCACCCATATCCGGTTCCCCTGAAGCTCGTCTGGTAACCTGCTAGTTAGGAGCTCCCCGATGTTGTTGGTGAAGGTGAGGGTACAAGAGAAGTATAGTACAATAATAGGTGTTTTTACCCTGCCCCCCCCTCTGCCACTCAATAATAAAAGCCAAGACCTGGTGTCACACGTACGTACGTAGATAAGAAAGAAGAAATCGGTTACTGTTTAGAAGTCACAGACGGAAATACGTCCTTTGGGTAATGTGGAGTAAAATGGTGAGCCTGCTGTTTGGCAGTTAAAGTTCACAACAATGTCCTCCTCCAGGTTTCCCAAAAATAAATGTCTAAATTCGTTGAAATCTCTCACCTATCTTCTTCTAACCTATAAAAGTAATTTTTTTGTCTGTCTATCTGTCTGTGTGTGTTCACGCGCTTGCGAGGGATTTGGCTCTCAAACGGTGGGGTTTACGCTTAAATAAAATTTGCCAGGTACCACGCCGTAAGCCCCCCGGTTGGCAAGCGCTATTCCTTTTTCACGTCCGTCACCTTTAAATTAGTTTAATTAGCGATTTTGTGCGATTCATAGTTATTTATTTATAGTTTTGCCGCTCAGCGCGGGGCAAAGCACGCAATTGCGCATGCACTGACCGCTGACAGGAGCTGCCCCGAGCAACACACCATCACTAAAACAAATCATTCACGTTAACAATGCTTAAACAATATACACACAACTGCTGAGGTTAATTCTTCACAGTCTTATGTCCTCTTCTCCCCCCCCACCCCAATGCATGCAGTTACTGATATAAAGTCCGTAGATATTAATATTATAGCGCTTACATAGCATTATTGCAGCGCGGGTGGGGAGAGCGGCTCAGCCCCCAGCCTGGCAATGTGTCACCTCCGGCTGGGCAATCTAGGCGAGGCCGCGGGCTCTGCATGGGACTAGGCCTCACCACGGCAATGTAAAGTACAATTGTATTGAATATTTTGCTAAGAACTCAGGTTCATTGTTTACTATTATGAAACTAATATGTTGGCAAATATTATAATAATAATGTATGTGTGCAGAAAACTAATTTTTCATTATTAGGTTGATAAATATTTTCTTTTTTAGTTGTGTTTTTATGATGCTGTGACGGTGTACTGCCAGTTTGTGCTGTGGCCTGCTGCCTGCTGATTAATTAACGGCAGTGCACTGGCACTCTATTATCTACACTGCTAATTTTGCTTTTGCCCATTATGAGTCAGTCTATAATCTGTTGCTTGCTTCTTTACCTCACTCAGTGTACTGCCAGCCTTTCATGTCGACTGTATCCTGCTTTTTTAGCTGCTGACCGTATTGCCAGCTTTTTATGTGGACTTCAGCAACGCTTTTGTCATTGAGTCGGCGTACTGGCAGTCTATAATCTAGACTGTAGCCTGCTTCTCAACTTACCTGTGCGTACTGCTGCTCTTTAATGTAGACTTATTTAAGCTTATTTCTTCAATGCATTTATATTGTTTCGATTGATCACGTCACGCTATTTACTGATGCGTAGTACTGCAATGCTGATTAATATGTTATACTGCTAAATACGTTGGACTTTCTTAGATACAGCTCATTGCATTTCGTCTATCGTTTTGTTACATTCGTGGGAACATCGCCCATTTACATTTTTCCGTACCGCACCTTTACTTTCCACCAAAGCGGGGAGCACGCAGGGAGGGTCAATGCCCCAAATATTGTTGAAAAATTACAAATCTGCAGAGAGAGAAAATTGCTCGAGCTGTGGCATCATCGGGGATTGCTGTGTAAGTCGATGTGTGTGTGAGTCGACGTGTGTGTGTGTTGGAGTCCATATGTGTGTGTGTTTAGGTCCATGTGTGTGTGTGTTAGTCGATGTGTGTGCATGGCTCCATGTGAGTGTGTAAGTCAATGTGTGTGTGTGTCTATGTGTGTCAGTCGATGTGTGTGTGTGTGCGAGTCCATATGTGTGTGTAAGTCCATATGTGTGTGTGTTTAGGTCCATGTGTGTGTGTGTTAGTCGATGTGTGTGCATGGCTCCATGTGAGTGTGTAAGTCAATGTGTGTGTGTGTCTATGTGTGTCAGTCGATGTGTGTGTGCGAGTCCATATGTGTGTGTGGAAGTCGATGTGTGTGTGTGTGAGTCGATATGTGTGTGTAACTCCATGTGTGTGTATCTAAAGTCTATGTGTGTGTGAGTCCATATGTGTATGTGTGTGTGTCGGCCAATGTGTGTGTGAGTCGATGCATGTGTGTGTGTAAGTTCATGTTTGTGTGCTTAGGTCGATGTGTGTGTATGTGAGTCGCTGTATGTGTGTATGTCGATTTGTTTGTGTAACTCTATGTGTGTGTATCTAAAGTGAATATCTGTGGGTGTGAGTCTATATGTGTGTGTGTGTAAGTCGATGTGTTTGTGTGTGTGGGTCTGTGTGTGTCTTTTTCGCCTGGGCAATGCCGGGTACTTCCCGCTAGTACTAATTATGGGTGTGTTCCTTGCAAATACCCAAGAGATTCAGAGGTGAATAAGGTACCAGTCAATACATTAATTCAAAGGTTGGTGTTTGACATATGAAGCCATCATGGTCAAGCTTTGGGCTTAAATTTACCTTACAATAGGAATACCCCATTTGATAATTGGTTCTTTACCCTTCTATCTGGCAACAAAACTGACACCTTTTTGCAAGGAGTCATGTTTGCATAGACCGCAATACCTGCAGTCATAATACAAACAAAAGAACATAACTCTGATAATGTGCACTGTCCTTGAAGTTGCACATTATCAGAGTTATGTTCTTTTGTTTGTATTATGACTGCAGGTATTGCGGTCTATGCAAACATGACTCCTTGCAAAAAGGTGTCAGTTTTGTTGCCAGATAGAAGGGTAAAGAACCAATTATCATATTTTTACTGGCAAATGAGGTCCCCATAGAATACCCCATTTATTTAGACGGTACTAGCTATGCACGTGGCCTGCAGTCCAGCACCGTAGCAGGTGAGGGTTGGTGCATCCACACAAATGTTGTGAAACCACCTTTCCGTGGGCGTCGAGGTACCATTCACACCTCTGATTAGCACGGTTGGCTATGTATGGTGCGAAACAAGTTCAACACACATACACACATAAGCCTGGCTTTCCAGGAGAAGGGGGTACGGCAAGTGTGGACTTGTGGGAATAGAGCATTGCCCCCTCGCACAACGTGGGTATTCCCCAACAGGTGCTCTGGTTTCCTGCCACCGGAATTAATTGACCATCCCCTTCGCCCTCCCCCCACCCTGTGCCGCGCACAGACCTTGTTCGGCTTCCGCCGCGTGTGCTGGCGGCAGGCGCTGGTGGTACTGGGAGCCGTGCTGTCCTGTGGCTTCCTGTTGCTGCTGCTCTACTGGCACCCGCGCTGGCGCGTGCGCTTGCAGTGCGTGCCCTGCTCGCTGGCCGAGGCCGACGTTCTGCTCCTCCGCACGACCGTGAGCACCGTCGCACGCGTGTCCATCTGTGTCGCGTGTCCGTCCATCTATCTGTCACGTGTCCATCTATCTGTCGTGTGTCCGCCAATCTGTGTTGCGTGTCTGTGTTTCGTGTGTCCATCCGACTCTCTTATCTGTCTGTCCGTCTCGCGTGTTTGTCCGTCTGTTTCGCGTATCTGTCCATCTCAGGTATCTGTCTGTTTCACTTGTCTGGCCGTCTTGCGTGTTCCTCCATCTATTTAACGTGTCTATCCATCTCGCTAGCCTGTCTGGTGGAGCAGCGGGTTTTACACACCACCTTCTGGTAACTCTTCTCGCCCAGCATCTGTTTCTTTACTCCTGAATTGACGTTGCAGTTGGATTTGATGCCTTACCAATTGCCACATTGATTAGAGCGTTTAACACTCAGTCGATTCACGACTGACATCCTGGCCTATCGTCTCACCTGGGTTGATAAAACGAGTACCAATTTGTTTGAAGTCGGCAAGTGGTTAGCTGATAAAGACACTTGGTTTTCTGCCATGGGAATTAGGAATTTCTACCATTGGCTCAGGGCTGCAAATGGAAACGAGTGCTCATTTTCCCAGTCTATAAACACCTTTTAAATTTTGACTTTCAGATTAATGTGAAGAGTCCAACGAATTGGCAGCGTTGGAAAATAAAATATATATGACCTATGTGACTGTGGAAGGTGTATGTTACTTTCATGGATGAAAAGTTTGGCCCCACGTAAAAATAAGTTTGGCTAATAATTTTATATAAATACACGATAGTTTGACAGTTGATCCTTATGGCGGTATCCCGGGGTACCAAATAATACAAAATGGCCGAGGCAATTAAATATTTTATTTCTGGGACACTATTTTTCCTAGGTGTGAACTTAACTCCGTGACTGGGGTACCAATCAATCCAAAGTCAGTGCTACTCCACGATGTCGAAACGCCAAACATTAACATAAAAAAATCCGTTACCGAAAAATTCAACTCTGAATAGTGCATCGTGTTCGGCTCGTCGAGATGAGTCGATTGCCGCATCGCCGACCATCAACAGACTAAAAATGACTGCATCACGGACATTATGCGAGAGCCGGGGTATTGCCATAAGGTTGTTGATTTACAGCCTGGGGTGTCAATAGTGTCGTTTAAAAGAGACGTAAAAATATTATTCTTCCCCTCTGCACAAGTACATAGAAATGATGTCTTGCAGGTGCCATGTTATATATTTTGTTCATGAAAAGTTTGGGGACTGTTTTCGGTGGTCAAACACAAATGAAAGAACTCACCACATTAGCCAAGAAGCAAGACCTTACAGCAGCAAAACGTGGACTGTAATGGGCTGACGTTTCAGGCAATGGCCCTTCTTCAGAGCAGAGGCAGAAAGAGAGGGTAGAGATATTTGACCGACTTGTAGTTGGAGATGGCAGCTTACACTTCGCTGGCCCTGAAACCACGGGGACATTAAAAAAAAAAGCCTAACACATGTAGGCCTTCCAGACCAATGTTGGCTGTCACCTGATGAGGCTGGTTGTAATTAATTATAAATATTGTGGGTTTACTCTCCAATACGCCGGTGTCCTGAACTAGTAACTAATTGGCATGTTTTGGTTATGTAACAAAGCTTACTAATTGGCTGCGTCGGTTGTAGCGGGTTTAACGACACATTTATATTTACGCGATCTAAACCAAAAAAAAAACTTTATTATGGAAAAAAAATACATTTTTAAAACGAAGAACGTTCTGTGTAATCTCGCATTTTACGTGCAGGATGAGTTTCAGACGTGGTCGAGGCAAAAGGTGGATTGGCTGAAGCTGCGTGAGAATTCCCACTTGGGTGGCGGTGGGGATGAGGCCTTGCGTGGCGACTTCGCGTTGGTCGCTAGCGGAAAGTCGCAAATATTCTCGTCCCTGCACCAGCCCGAAATGAAGGTGAGTGCTGATGGTGTCTGTCATGGTGGCGAGATGTTAACTACCACGTCTGGTATACAGGAGGTCATGGGTTCGGTCCCAACCCTTGACGCCTGTATATTTGAAGTTTGCGTGTCTCTCTCCCCTTGGTCGCGTGGATTTTTCTCCGGGTCCTCCGGATTTCCCCTCCACATCAACGAGCCATCATTCAAGTGACACGAGTGGGGCTGCGTGCCGCCCGCAGTGACTTGTGCCCCACGCGTTTCACCGTGTTCCTTCCTCGGTGCTCGCATCACACACCCTCCTGTCTCACTCACTTAGCTTGTGAGTTTTTTTCTAATTTTCCATTTCCGCCCTGCAAATTTCAACTTTCAACCATCTAAATGACAGCGGTTTTCGGCTGGAATATTAAAGGTGTGTGCGTGCGCACGTGCATATTGGGAGCGGTAGTGTGGCGGTTAGCGTGCTACGCTACGAAGTTCGATTCCCGCTCATGGCCACCAACACCAGTGATGATTATTTAAACCGGTCCTGGGCCTCCCTGTTGTCGACTCGGCTTCAAATGAATACCTGGTGTTGTGTGTAATCATTGCCACGAGTCGTACAAAGGCAGCCAGGCGTGATGCTGGCCACCCACCCCCTCGTGCGCCGTGCCGGCCTTCGTAGGTGCTCGCTAACAGCACTTGCCTCAACAGTCTGTTATGGTTACACGGTGGATCTTCGTCCATGTGTGTGATGTACTAAGCCCTCCATTGCAATTGTAATGCAATGTACTATTATACTCCCCGTCTTCAACCAGCACCGACCAGGGTGGTGAAGTATGGTCAAATAACCCCCACGGACCCGCATGCCATGGGGAAGCCCTCATCCAGCAGTGGCTTGACAGAAGGGCTGTACACGTCTGCAAACTCACATCCCAGGAAACAGGGAATGTTGGGCCAACGGTTCCAGCCGCGTGCGAACGTTGACCCAACGTTGCTGAGACGAACGTGACAACATTACCAGGTGGCTCAGCGGTTGAGCGAGCGGTTCGCAATTGGTGGCGAGTTCAACTCCGCATCATCCCTCCGGGGTCAATGTAGTGAGTACCAGTTTGTGGGGAAGACAACCAGTGGCTGTCCTATGGAGAGACTCGCCTCCTCCATAGGAATGTGGAACTTCCACCACCAAGACTGGGCTATGAACAGGGGATGAGCACTGCCTCAGTGTGAGTGTGCGCACCTCATTTAAGCATTGTGGCTTTGTAAACTGGCCTATGAACCCAATGAAGCTGAGTTCGATTGCCGGCCACAGAAAGATGACGTTTGTGGCGAGTGATCTCCGAACCGGTCTCCCCCCTCCCACACCACCTTCACCAAACCTGGTGAAGTATGGTAAAGCAACCCCTGTGACCTTACACGGCGTGGGGAGACCTTCATCCAGTGGTGGATTGGCACCGGTCTGTAAGTCAGAATCTTTATTTATCCTGGAGGAATCCGATGAGATATAAAGCTCTCTTTCACCGATGTCCTATTATATTAATTATTATAAGTCAATATTATTTTAATATTTAATGTGGACATGTAAACACCGCTGGTTGGTGCCGTAAACACAAGGCATGTCGTGGCTGTGACGGCAGAGGAGAACACAAGAAACACCCTTTGCGTGTTTCTTTTGTCAGACGCGAGACCTTGTGTCCAATTTGTGCGATCAAATTCGACTTCCCCCGCCCCCCCGAACCTTCCTCCCCCCCCAGTTCTTGTTAGTTTGGTTTGTTACAGTTTCATTTGGGAGTGTGCTGACAGAGAATAGCTTATTAGGTGCAGTCATTGTGGGTGTGATGACACTGTGGGTGTCATCACACCCGCAAAAGATCCCCGCCCCGTATAGCCTTAACAGACTGTTGGGGCAAGTGCTGTTCGCGAGTAGCACCTGAAGGCCGGCACGGCCCACGAGGGGGTGGGTGGCCAGCACCCCGCCTCGTCAACTTTGTCTCCCCAGTGGCGATGATTACACATCGCACTAGGTAATCATTTTAAGCTGAGTCGACATAGGAGAGGCCCATGACCGGTTCAGATATTTGTCACTGGCCGCCCCCCACTGGGTCTATATAACAAAAACAACAACAACCGCCATTCGCCACTAATTGGCAATGACGTCACCACGGCGCTTGTGCTAGGCTATGTGCACTTAAGGCCACGTGAAGTGGGTCTATACAGGTAGTCCCCGACTTACGATGGAGTTGCGTTACGACGACCCCATCGTAAGTCGAAAATATCGTGAGTCGAAAATGGCCTAGCCTACCCAGGAGTCTTAAAGAATGGTGATAATTTAGCGAAGAAGAGCAATTTACAGTACCGTACTGTATAAACTATATGCATATAGTACATCCCGGCATCGTCCCAACGTACAGTACGCTGCTGCGTTTGCCTGCCGCGCGAAATGTAAATATATAACAATTTTATCATATCGCTATCGCCATCGTAAGATCGAAATATCTTAAGTTGGACCATCGTAAGTCGGGGACTACCTGTATATATACACACACGTGTGCATTTTCTTTGAATGCTTACCATCATGTTATCCACAATTATAGCACTATCAAAGGTAATTTAAGACCGCAAGTCACAGAGAACATTGGTTTGCTTTGCCAGGTGTTACGTTGAGATCACTTGATGTCATTCTCCGTATGTATACAAAAATATGCGTGAGAAAACACTTTGAAACGCGGCAAAGAAAACACGAATATAATTGCAAATGGTGTCATCGTTGCTCAATGTATGAAACTATTTTTATTTTACCAGGTAAGGCCCCACTGGAGCTACGTAGCTCTTTTTCAGAAGTGACCTGGCTACAAATGATAGCTCAACGAAGTGGCTTATCACGTGGAAATTTATAGCAGCCAAATAGTCCAAATGCATGTTGATTCTAAATGTGGAGGGAAAAACCGGAGGACCTGGATAAAAAAAAAACCTACACGACCACGGGGAGAACATGCAAACTCCAAATATACAGCAGGGTTGGGATGGAACCCATGGCCACCTATATACCAGGCGAGGTAGTTAACATCCAGCCACCGTGGCGCCCAATGTATAATTAAGAACATAAAAGCAGTCCATCACATATACGAATGATGAAAGTAGCACTACAAGGCACCACTCCTATTACATTCGTTCAACATAGTCCTATGTATCACTGTCTTAACAAACTGTACGAGCAATGTTAACGTTGTCGGGAAGCAATAAAGAATAATTAATTATGTTAACTTAGCATGGGTTACTATTCTTTACCAGGCGGCAACAATTCATGAATTATTTAGTCTTACCAATACTTCGACACTGGTTCGTGTGCGTCAAAGATGGTAGGACTGTTGGAGGGGTGGGATTAGTTTGGATATCAAACGATGCTGACTGTGGCTGGGAATCGTGGCCAGGAATCATAGCACACTTTACAAAGACAAAGATCACCCAGTATAGCCTTAACAGACTGCTGGGGCAAGTGCTGTTAGTGAGAACATATGAAGGCCGGCATGGCACACGAGAGGGGGTGGGTGGCCAGCGTGTCCTGGGCCAGCCAAGGACACGCTGGCGGGACTATGTCGCTCGGCTGGCCTGGGAACACCTGGGAATTCCCCAGGAAGAGCTAGAGGCTGTCGCCAGGGAAAGGGAGGTCTGGACCGCCTTGCTCGACATGCTGCAGCCGCAACCCTTGCCAGGACAGGCGGATTGAGAAACGAACGAAAGATTGAATACGCATTCTGTTTTAAATTATTGTTTGTGATATTCACGGTGATCCATTTACTTATTTCTAATTACCCTGTGACTTTCTTCTCAACAGGTGATTAAAAATTCTGGAAGGGGTATGGCTTCACATCTTCTAGAGGAGGGAGTTAAAATATGTAATACTTGTATGGAGATTGATGGGAGACGTGTAGAGGTGTTGACATAAAACGTTTTCTCCATAATAACTTCTTCCCGATTATTTTAGCGGGTATCTATAAATCGATTGCCTGGTATTACAATATAGGCTCGTACTAAAACTGCGCCTGTTTTACTGGTGTCTCCACAGATCCGTTACTTTAATCATCAGAAGATTCGCTACGTTTGGAACGTGAAGATGGAGAAATTTGAAAGACTGGGGTAAGGGTCGCGAGATAACCACACGTGCCATTCATGTAATCAGTATACCGCCATTGAGAAAAGTATTCAGAAAATGAACATTGTTTAGAAACGATCCAGGGAATTGTATTGTTGGCATAGAATCATGGCCCTCTATCAATTTGAATGCAAAGAACTACCAGGCCGTACGTCGGCTGCTGCCATGTAGGCAAAGGAGGCCGAGAAGAAGTTGGATTTATTTTCTTTACCAAAGCCTTATTTAACTCTTAACAACTATCACTGATATTATTTCCCGCACCTTCGACTAGGACGGTTAGCTACGTAGGGTGCAAAAGAAGTTCAACATACTAAATTTGCATTCCAGAGGTCACCGCTTCAATTTAGATCGCCCAGCACATGAGTTGAATCAACAGGGCAAGTTTATTATATTCCTTTCCCCAATTGCCTCTGTCCAGCCAGCAGCAGTGTATATGTAAATGGGTGGGATAAAGTGTGGATTCTCTTCCATGCTAACCAGGACATCTGGTTAGCATGGGACAGTAGGTCAAATACTCTCTAAAAGGTCTCTCCAATGCTCGAGACGCCGGTTATTAGCAGCAAGAGCAGTTTATGCAAATGGGAAAATGTCAAAACTGGGTGGTTTTTAACTTTTGCCGACAAAACTGGATCCCAAATGTCAAAACTGGGTGCACCCTGGGTGGCCAAAAACTTGAATTTTGGACACTCAGGGTGCACCCAGTTTTGACATTTGTCAAATACACTTGATAATTGTATACTAGCACAGTGTGCCAGCACCCCATTCATCCAAACACTTGGTATTTGTATACTGGCACACTGTGCCAGCACCCCATTCATCTAAACACTTGGTATTAGTATGCTGGCACAGTGTGCCAGCACCATATAACTACACACACTTGATATTTGTACGCTGGCACAGTGTGCCAGCACCCCAACGACCAACATTTCAAGCTACGGCTCGGACTCGGAAGTGAGCTCGGGGCGGGCTTGCGACCAGGCGGGCGCACTGCCACCTTGCGTGATGACCTAGACTAGTGACTCGCGTCAATACCAAACTTTTGGATTGTTGGTTGATGCTACGCGCTACTGTACATGCAAGCTGGCACACTGTACCAGTATACAAATGGCAAGTTCGTGTATGTTCGCGAGCTGAAAGTGTTACTGTAGTTGCAAGCTGGCACACTGTGCCAGTATACATATGGCAAGTAAGTGTTACTGTAGTAGCGAGCTGGCACACTGTGCCAGTATACAAACGGCAAGTAAGCGAGCTGGGACACTGTGCCAGTATGCAAACGGGAAGTTTGTGGTGCAAGGTATGGAACATGAGCCACGAGAAACATCATTTGGAACGTTCTAAATCTGTGGCGACATATGGATGAATAACGCAAGGACCTAAACGTGTACAAAATGATACATTAAATCGTACACCTTCTTCACCCAGTTTTGACATTTGTCCACATTGAACATCACCCAGTTTTGTCATATCAAAAAGCACCACCCTGTTTTGCCTGTCGTTTTCCAAGACCACCCAGTTTTGACATTTGGGATCCAGTTTTGTCGGCAAAAGTTAAAAACCACCCAGTTTTGACATTTTCCCTTATGCGAATGCTGTCGCAAGAGGCCATACGTTTGGGGCAACGGTCCTTCGCTGACTACGCGTGATGAATGAATGATTGCTCTCCAAGAGCTCCCTATAGTTGGAGGCCCTTTCCTCTCGCAGTGGTGTGAGCAAGCAATTGCAGGGCTGCACCTTGACATTTTTACCTTTTTTATGTACTTGGCCTTGTCTGCCAGGCAAGTGCAGTTGTCATCTGAACTTTCCGCCAAGGAGTCTTTCAAGGTGGAGAATCCCTGCGTGCTATTCGCTCGTCTAAAGTTGTATGATAATTCGTTTGATTCTAAACAACGTTGTAGAAATATGCTTGGTTCTTTCGGTAAAGTCACGTAGAAGGGAAATAATAAAATAATAAAGATATGAAACAATAAAAATTCCCACGATGTTTCGACTGCAACACAAGCAATCATCAGGTGTGAAATCCACAGCAAGAAAATTTGAAAAAAGTGGCGGTTTTTCTTAACGTCAGCACCACGAACAGCGATTTAGCAGTTGGTCAGATGGACGAGTCCATGGAAAAACTGCCACTTTTTTCAAATTTTCTTGCTGTGGATTTCACACCTGATGATGATTGCTTGTGTTGCAGACAAAACGTCGTGAGAATTGTTATTGTTTTATATTTTTATTATTTTATTATTTCCCTTCTACGTGACTTTACCGAAAGAACCAAGAATATGAATCCCTGCAGTCACGAAAGTTTTAAATAAAAATTTAACGTTGTACAATTTACGATGCTCGTGACAAAAGAACACGTGCTTGTCGTTAACATGACTAATAACAGTGGCGAATATTTGAACAGGTCCTGGCCTCCCCTAGGTCAACTCAGCCACAAATGAGTAGCTGGTGCGATGTGTAAACATCACCACTGGCGAGACAAAGGCGGCCGGGCGCGATGCTGGCCACCCACCCTCGTGCGCCGTGCCTGCCTTCATAGGCGCTCGCTAACAGCATTTTCTCTAGCAGTCTATATGGGAAACATTTGTCTTTGTCTGTATATATAATATGTATTTTTATTTACGCAGTGGACTGGAGAATACCCTCACCTGTACAGAGATCCACGATCAATTTGGGAAGGGCCTCGATCAGTCACAAAGAGATTTGAGGTATCTGTTGAATTGCTTTGTATCTGTCACTGAATTCCAGTTAATTTTAACTCACAATAACCATGAGTGTCATTGTGCAGAATATAAAGAACAAAATAAGCAAGCATGATATATCCGCTGCTGAATTGTTAATTGTGAGGTTGCCTAATTTGTGGAACTGTCCCTTTTATTATAAATATCCCTCAGGTCTGCCTTGCAAGGCAAGAGACTTTAGTCTCAATGAACTTTCACTTAGCTATATATTTAAAGGATGTATCGACATGAATGTTACATGTGCCATTTGTTGACTGATGTAAATTACAGTAATACCTCGTTATTTGGGTATTTGATCATTCATAATTGGGGATAATTCGACACGGCTGCAATTTCAGCATATATACAGAAATTCGCCATGAGCCGAATTGTCCTACTGAATGGGCAAATATCGGCATGCACGTGGAGCGACGCCGCACACCACGACCAGAACAACGACTCGGTCTGGTGGCGGCGCGCGTGGTGAGCGTTAGTGCAGACCTGTCGCTTTGGACTTGTTTGTGCACTCTGTGCAAGCCAACCACCTCGGAAATGTCGCCTACACCGATATCAAGAAGTAATAGAAAGGGACTAAAGTATAATTCCCTTAGTCTGCGAGACAAATCTATAGTTGTGGATATAATTGATGCAGGGTGTGTGTCAATGCGTATGGTGCATGAAGAGTTTGAAAAACAAATTTGAAAAAATTGTATTGGGGCAGGAGGCACTGGGCAGTACCGTTGTACACAATTCGGAATATTGGATAATTCGGCAAGGCCAGAGCCCCATATGTGTTCAATTAACAGGGGTTTGCTGTACACATTTGTGATCGTGAAATTGTCTCCCGGGTGCGGTGTGGCGTTGTTGAGGCTGACGTTGCATGTTGCTCTCCATTCCTAGGAAACTTGTCTATGGCCTAAATCTCATCGACATCCCAGTACCCCCCATTTGGAAGTTACTCTTTAAAGAGGCAAGTACTCTCGGCGCATCGGCGAGAGAATTGCACCACCAGAAGAGGTCAATTTCAAGGGAGAAAATTACCGGATTAGTTTTACGTGGTGTTGTAAATTAAAAATACATGATCTTTAAAATAATGTATTCCATCTGAAAAGTAATAAATAAAAGTGTACATTTTTTTGTTAACTACATTTCGGAAGCATTATATCTGGATAAACACGGTGCCAAGGTGGATAATTTGGATGATCGTATATTTTTTCACGTCGTTTGGTTAAGATGGCGATTGTGGCATTGCGACTGAATAGCCTGTGGCTTTCTCCCCAAAGTGTGCGCAGATTGCGAATGATGAGATCTCGCGGTGTTTCCTTTCTGGCCAGGTGCTCAACCCGTTCTACATTTTCCAAGTGTTCAGTGTGTGCCTGTGGTTTGCGGAGTCCTACATGGAGTACTCGTACGCCATCATCGTCATGACTCTCATATCTGTGGGCCTCTCCGTCTACACCGTGCGCAAGGTGACGAGATGGGCAGAGTGGCAACTCTGCTGGGGGAAGGCGGTATGCACGTCAAGTTTGAGGACATTGATGTTTCACATTTATTCCAAAAGAAAAAGTAATGGCCAGTGGAAATGCAAATCCCCACTGCACATTCAGTTATAAATTACGCTTTGTTTACACACGAGAGCCTCGGTGAGTTTTTGCAGTAGGTGCTTGTCAAATTTTTTTTTTTACTTGCAATGATTGCTATGTATCTTCCAACTCAGAACAATTTGAGATACATTTTTCACCTTTGGACCATGACCGCCGGCACACGATGGCCTAGTCTTGCGAACGACAAGCGGCGAACGCGGTACCGCTTGGCCGCATCACTGCCGTGTAATTTGACATATATGTACAGTAAAACCTTGGATTGCGAGTAACTTGGTCTGCGAGTGTTTCGCAAGAAATTTAAATAAATATTCATTTGATAAACGGCTTTGTCTGCCGAGCGTCACGTGATCACAACTCGTATACGAGTGCTTTGATATACGAGCGCTTTGGATTACAAACACGTCTCTGGAACGAATTATGCTCGCAATCCAAGGTTTTACTGTATGTTGAATTTCTTTCGCACCGTACGTAGCCAACCGCGCTCATCGGAGGTGCGGGGGAAGGACAACAAATGGAACACAAAAACCAGTTGTAAAGAAATGAGATTTCAATCTACATTTAAAAATGCAAAGCTCCAGTGGCTTCCTAATATCAGAAGGAAGAGCATTCTAGACGGCCGCAGGAGCGCATCTGAACACGTGCGATGCACTTGGCCGTTTTTGTTCAATGGCCGAAGCAAAAGCCGCTATTTCTCTCCTTCCCCTCCTCCTCCTAGCAAGCAGTGGCACTGAACAAGATGGTCAAAGAGCACAGCAACCTTCCTGTGACGATACTCGGAAGAGACGGAAGTAAGGCCTTGCTTTGTGTGCAGTGCAATGGAACTGAGGTGATTGTTCGTATTTTTTCGTGTGCCGTTTTAAACATAATAATTCTCAGTTTTAAAGTGATCGTGCTGTCGGCATGGTGTTACGAGAAGAGGAATCCATTCGCAGCTTCATCAGAGCAGTGCAAAATATCAACACAGTCTGCAAATTTGTACTTTTTAGCTGGGCAGCGGTGGCGATAATGGGTGCCTGTAAACCCCGCAAGGTGGAGATAGCGAGGAGGGTTTGTGGATCGGACAAATGGGGAAAAAAGTTTGTGAGACTTCCTTCTCTTGGGCATGAAGGTGTAATACCCCCTGGCCTGCCAGCAGAAACATCGTCGTCATCACAATCCATGGGCAGATAGCTCCGTTGGTGTCCACCTGCACATTTCGTCATTTGTTTCCACCCTCCTCCTGTCTTGTGTTAATTAGCTCACGCAGTGCCACATCTTTCTGGCAGGATGCAGTACAGCAAATTGTGGACTGATATGATCTGTCCCTTCTGTATTGGGTGGAATGTTGCCCCCTCGCATGCGCGGGTTTTATGGGGTGCTCTGGTTTCCTCCCACTTGTAGTACTAGCACAAATTGGTGTGAACACATCGTGATGTACCGGAGAACTGCAGAGAACATTGTTTTTGTTGTTGTCAGCTCACTGCCTGGCAGCCTTCCAGCTTGGTCTGTTGTTCCACAGCGATGGTCAGATGAAACCCCGTGTTTTCGATTAGCAAAGAAGTTCAACGTACAGGGACTCCTCTACTTGCGAGCATTCGACTTGTGAACCTTCATAGATACGAACAAACCTGTCCGTATGTCCAGTTGCCTGTTCGGACCGAGAGTTTTAAGTTCAACCACTGCGCAATAGATGATGGTGGTGGCGGCATCTACATCTGCAGAACGTGAAGAACCAGTGGCATCTACATCTACAGGAGATGATGCAACTTTTAAAGCCATTTCCAATGTTTAGTGTACACGCCGTACAACATGTTTGGTAATCGACAAGAGTAAAGTTGAACAAATCGACTTAAGAACAGACCTGGAACCTACCTCGTTCGTAAGTAGAGGAGTCCCTGTACGTACATACTTAGAATTTGTAGATACTTTCAGGTGTATATTTTCGTATTATTTTATTCTTTGTTTCTTTCGGTTAAGTCACGTCAAGAAACAAAGAATAATTCCTGCAGTCACGAAAGCTCCAAAATTAAGATCGTATTATTTTATCCACACACACCCAGGAACACATTTTGCCAACGGGCCCTGCTATGAGAGAAACGTAATTATTAACGTGACAGTCAAGCAGATATTTGACATTCTCAGAGTTGGAAAATAGCCAAACTAAGTGAAATATCAAGATGAAATATGAGCGGGCCTAAGCCCATCAACTCATTGCAGTTGCCAAACCGGTTTGATCGTGGGCTTGCCGCCTGGATTCTCTACATACGGTGCGAAATAAGTTCAACATACATGCATCCACACATACATACGTTGCACGTCTAGTTTTGACACGGTTATAGTGAGACCTTGAGTTGACGTTCCCTGGATAGGCAAGATGGGTACCTCGCCTGGTGTACAGATAGTCGTGGGTTCGACCCTGATGCCTGCTGTATATTTGGAGTTTGCATGTCTCTCTCCCCATGGTCTCATGGATTTTCCTCCGGATCCTCTAGTTTTTTCTCACCACACTTAGAAACAGAGTATTTGGTTGCTTTTAATGTCCACGTGATAAGTCACTTGTTTGAGTTATCATTTGTGGCCAGGTCGCTTCTGAAAAAAAGCTATTAAGCTCAGTCGGCCTTACCTGGTAAAATAAAAAGTTGTTTTGTTTTAGATTCAGGATAGCGCATACTGTTTTATCTATCTGATATTGCCTACAAATGTCAGTTGGCACAATACGTGGACATATAATCTGTTTGGGAACGCACTGGCGAACTAGTTGATGTGTAAATAAATGAATCTGCTTTCACAAAACAGGACGTTGCATGCCCGCCAGGGCAAATATCGTGTTGCTTTTCCCGTCATCAAGAAATAAAATGAGCAATTTCCTTACTATCCGTAGAGATAAGACGATTAAGCTGGTGGAGTCTAGTGCTTTGTTAAATACAAGTAAAATTGTCTCCATGCTCAGAGGGGTATTGGATGGTACTTACCTAATTTGCTTGCCCTGAATTTGTGGTGAACAAAATTTGTATTTGCACCACAAAGTGGTACTTAGACTGTACATTTTTTTATTTTTACCAGATAAGGCCCAATGAGCTATATAAATATTTTTCAGAAACGACCTGGCCACAAATAACAGCTCAACGAAGTGGCTTATCATCATGTGGAAATTTAAAGCAGCCAAATACTCTAAAAACGTGTGATGTTGATTCTCTATGTGGAGGGAGAAACCGGAACGCCCGGAGAAAAATCTGCGCGACCACAGTAAGAGAGGCACGCAAACTCCAAATATACAGCAGACATTAGGGTCGGGATAAAACCCACGATCTCCTGTATACCAGACGAGGGAGTTAACATCTCACCACCGTGGCACCCTTAGGCACCCTTATGTTAATCGAACCTCACGGGATGATGGGCTGAGTAGATTTCTTCTAATTGTGTTTTGAACCGCCAGTCCAAGTACTTAACCTTAAACATAGTTTACGTGGCCAGACAAATAACAAGATAAGATGGGCCCTACTCTGCGGCGCGGGAGTGACCGTAGCTCGTGTGCATGCCTCCCTCAGCCAGCAGAGACACGACCTCCACCGAGGTGGTGCCGGGGGACGTGATAACATTCCCCAGCAACGGGGGGATAATGCCGTGCGACGCCGTCCTCGTGTCCGGCTCCTGCGTCGTCAACGAGAGCATGCTCACAGGTAAAGCTGCGGCGGCCTGGGCCCCTCCGGCCCCGTGCGACTCGGCACAGTCGCGCACCGCCTGCGCACACACGTGTCAGGTCCTTGCAAGGAGGCAAAGCCCCCGTTCCTCGCCGGTTTCCGACGCTTTCAATCGCAGTTACCGCTGCTCGAGAAGGTAGCGATGTTATTTGGCAGTTTGGTAGTCAAGAAACCCTAATCGTGAACTGCCATCCAAAGACTCATTAAGGTCTCCAAATCTGATCACATCATCCGAAACCTCGTTGCCATTGAGCACGTAGAAGTAGAACTCTTGCTGTACCACTCTCTGCCGCATAGCTCGTAACACCCTACGACAATCTGTGCGTGCATGCTGACCTGCCCATCCAAGCACAGTGCAGGCTCGGACCTGCGTAGTATGGTGCGAGATCTGACGAGAGAGCGCCGGGAAGGGCGGGTGGGGCGTGCATGGCTGGGGGGGTGCGGGCAGGGGGGCCGGGGGGGAGGTGCGGCGTTCCCCCCGCGATCGGCTCCCCGCGGAACCCCCCGCGCCCGCCGTGTCGCCGTTCTCTTCCGCTGTCGTCGCCCTGATGACTCCTTTGCCGCGCGCCACCTCCAGGCGAGAGTGTCCCCGTGACCAAGTCGACGCTGCCGCGCCGCGAGGGCGACGCGCCGTGGGTGAGCGCGGGCGCCGAGGATTTCCGCCGCTTCGTTCTCTTCTGCGGCACGCGGCTCATCCAGACGCGCCCCGGCGCCGCCGACAAGGTGCTGGCCGTGGCGGTGCACACAGGTAAAGCCGGCACCAAAATGCTCCTCCGCTCCTTCACCCTATCGGATTAGATTTGTTTTTTTTATCTTAAACCAATGAAAAAAAAAATCGCCAGCGTTATCCTATTGACCGTGTGCCACTCGCGGTTGCTAATCGACGGAGAAAAAAATAAATCCACGTTCCAGGCAGGCTACGCGATGTGTAACCAACTTCATGGGGGGGGGGGGGGGGATTAGAAAGATTTTTTTTGTCGTTGATATTTTTCACCAGTTTTATCCCAATTTGTTACGTCTTGAGATGGAGCCTCCATTCAGACTTCTTGCGGACCAGTGCAGCCCTCTATGTTAGAGAGCAGCTCACGGGAGCGGATATCACACGCGCTACCTCTTGAGATTCCTTAACGGAGGGACGTCTGGCCATTAGAACCTAACCTGCCCTTCGTCGTGTGACGGTCAAACACTGTCTCTGGTGTAGGCCAATCAGTTTCAAAGACGATGCATATATTATCACAGCATGTTTGTTTGCACGTTCACCACAAGTACGTGTGGTTAATGCAGACTTCATGCCTTGCCAAAGCTATCTATTTGAACATTTTAACACCTACTGTTGTATTGCCAGAAAGGGTTTAAACCTGGTCAAACACATACATTTGGTTTTTATTTTCACAGCTGGCATTTATTAAAATTAAGTGCAGGACAAAATTAAATGTGATTTTTTTTTTTTTATCCAATCATTGGGGGGCTGGGATGAGACTACGAGGTGCCTGGTTAATTCATACATTCATACTTGTTCCCGAGGGAGGTACTTGAGTGGTACAGGGGTTCATAAGGGCCATGTCAGAGACACTGAGCTGGTTCTGCTGAGACCCTGGGTTCATATCCATGTGTTGGCCACCTGTGATGGTATAACCAGATTCTTCACTGTAGGGAGTTCATGGTCTCAACGAGCACCTGAAACAAACCAAAACTAAACGGAGTGGTGCACCGCTTGCTAGCCGTGACAATTCTGAGTGGACATGATTGTGTCTCGTGACTTGTCCGCCGATGGAGCGGCTCGGTCACCGTGTAAATTGACCAGACACGTGTAACCCTGTAGATGAGCGTGGATGTGCCGTGCCGGTTCGTGTGGAGTCGTCTGACCCATGCCCTGCCCACCCCCCCCCCCCCCCACAACTCCCTCCTCCCAAGGCTTCTCCACCAGCAAGGGGAAGCTGGTGCGCTCCATTCTCTACCCCAAGCCCACCGACTTCAAGCTCTTCCGCGACGCCTTCCGCTTCCTCATGTCGCTCATCGCCGTAGCGCTCGTGGGAATGATCTACGCCGTGGTCGTCTTCTCGCTCAGTGGGGTGCGCTCGCCGCTCCTGCGTGCACGATAGCCGCTCCTGCGTGCACGATAGCCGCTCCTGCGTGCACCATAGCCACGTCGCGTTGGGGCCGAGTGGGGATAGAGCGCGGTGCTGGGCCCAGTGAGATGTTGCACACTGGGGTGGGATGTCAACTACCTCGCCTGGTATACAAGACATTGTGGGTTCAATCCCAACCCTGACGCTGCTGTATATTTGGAGTTTACATTAATCTCCCCGTAGTAACGTGGATTTTTTTTTTTCCGGCTCCTCTGGTTTTTCCCTCCACATTCAGAATCAAGGTGTGTTTAGAGTATTTGGCGGCCATAAGTTTCCATGTGATAATCCACTTCGTTGAGCTATCATTTGTGTGTATCTTTTTTTTCTATCTACGTGGCTATTTACGTGGATTTACCGAAAGACTCAAGAATATATGTATGTGTGTTGAACTTCTTTCGCACCGTATATAGGCAACCAAACGGAGGTGCAGGGGAAAGACAACAAACTAAACACAAAAAGCAGTTCTAAAGAAATTAGTTTGCAATCCCCGGACTTGCCAACCGCAGATTCCTGTATACACGGTAAATTCTTTGTACACCAATTTACCAACTGCGGCCTGGAAATTTGAGTATCCGCGGGTAAGCACGGGTCCTCAACACGCGTTTCTCCATCGTACCACAGCGCCACCTGTGCTGGTTGTAATTACTGGCGAAACGTTGTACTCGAATTGTAAATGTTGTGGGTTTTACTTTCTAACACATCCGTGTGCTGAACTAGTAACGAATTTGCATGTTTAGTATACGTCATAAACCTTACTCATTGGTTGTGTCGGGTGGTGGCAGGTTTAATGACACATTTATATTTAGACGATCTAACCCAAAAATCTCTTATGGATAATATTGATCGCGAAAGCCTACGTGTTAAGCCAGCGGTCCATCTGTTTTGTTGCTGACCCATGCTTACCCACGGATAATAAACATGTCCAGGCTGTCTAGCTCTTTTTCAGCAGCGACCTGGCCACAAATTGAAAACACATTCCTTTAATTTGCTTTTTGTGTTTAGTTTGTTGTCCTTCCCTCGCACCTCTGATTTTAGCATGGTTTGGCTACGTACGGTACGAAAGAAGTTCAACACCGAGTCTTGAGACTAGGTGAAGCTTTCCTGAGTAAACAAGGTCAATAATAGTACATTGCCAATGAACAATGCCATGTTTTTCCTTTCTTTCATACCGCATTTGAAAAGTAATGGACGAATTTAAAACTCTGTTAGGTTTGAAAAGCCATTGGATGGTTAACCGATGGTTAACATTTGTATCTCCTGCAAAAGAGTGTGTGGGGCAATGATCGGTAATGTGAGTGATAGATCACACATCTACACAGTCACAATAGAGACCCATACACTCGCATGAATACCCGTAGACACACACAGCGATCCGTCGAGTCACACTGGGACCCATTCTATACAATACAATGCGACGCGCGCATCGGATTGCACTTCACCGTGGCCACAATTTGGTGACTCCTGAATTCCCCACTCGTGGTGGAAATATCCGGAACCTCCCCCACGCGCAGGACAATGCCAGCGGTCGTTTCCGATGAACATTTGCCCCACCCGATGATCATCGTTCCCACCGCAGACCGAGGCCGGCGAGGTCGTGAAGAAGGCCCTGGACATCATCACGATCGCGGTGCCTCCCGCGCTGCCGGCCGCCATGACGGCGGGCATCATGTACGCGCAGCGGCGGCTCCGCAAGGTCAACATCTTCTGCATTAGCCCGCAGCGCATCAACGTGTGCGGCCAGATCAACCTCGTCGGCTTTGACAAGGTGCGGCTCCCCGTGGCGCTCAGGGAGTGGGGCGGCACTCGCCCGGTGTACAGGAGGTTGTGGGTACGATCCCGACCCTGACGCCTGTATATTTGGAGTTTGCATGTTATCCCCGTGGTCGTGTGGATTTTTCTCCAGGTCCTCCGGTTTTTCCGCTCCACACTTCTAAACATGTGCTGAGAGCATTTGACTACTATAAATTTCCACATGATGATAAGCCACTTCGTTGAGCTATCATTTGTGGCCAGGTCGCTACGTAGCTCAGTGGTTGTTAATGAATGGAGGTGGTCATGACAATGTTCATGATGCTGGCGAAGATGATCATGGTGGTGGTGATGATGATGATGATGGACCAGTGTATGGTGGTTCTTTCTGTGTATTTTAACACTTTATGATGGAACTTTGTCCTGTGGACGTCTGTGTACTGGCAACATTTTATATTGAGACCCCTGTGGATGGAGATGTATTGGGACTCGTGTGTGTGTGTGTGTGCGTGTGCAATGAAGACAGGGACACTGACGGAGGATGGGCTCGACTTGTGGGGACTTCTCAGGGTCTCCGAGAACAGGCAAGCCCAACTTCGCTCCGTATTCACCATTCGCTATTCAACCTGCCCTCTGACTCGGCTCCCGTGCATTCGCCGGCCATGCTGCTCTCCATGTCTAAGCCGAATTCGAGATAATGAGTGGAGAGCTGTGTCTGGAATTACGCGATGGAGCAGTGGCGTAGTGGTTTGTGCACGGCGCTACGTACCCGGAAAACTGAGTTTGAATTCAAGCCACAGCTAACATCAGCGGGGAGTGACATCTGAACCGGTTCTGAGCCACCGCTTTGCGAACCCGCACACCGACCATCGTGGTGAAGTCTGGTCAAACAGCCCCCCATGGCCGACACGGCATGGGGAGCCCTTCATCCCGTAGTGCATGTGTTGTATCGTAGACGGAGGTACTCGGAGACGGAGGTTGAGTTAGGGGCTTCCGCCAGGGTTTATTAACACTTATCACTATCCCTGGTTCCCTCTTTACCCCTTCCACTATCCCCGTTCCTCCAGTGACCCCGCTTACGTTACGGGGTCTCCCTTATATACCCTCGGAGGGGTGATGTCACGTGCACTGCCCAGCGCGTGCGACCCCACGTCCCGTGAGGTCACCGCACCGGACAGCGCACACGACGCCACCACTCTCCTCTACTCCTCTACATCACCCCCCCCCGTGAAAAAAAAACAGCCGACCCGGCTGCAATCAACCCGCAAGCGGGGCCCCACACCGGACCGAAGACCGAATAATCACGAGTTCGTGTGCCTGAAGGTAAACCCGGCTGCTAGAAAACTCAACCTTAGGGCAGCACGGCCCTTCAAGCAGAACAGTAACAACAAAAAACAAAACAAATAGAGCCCGAAGGCCTCATCCGCCGGATAGCGCCGAACGGGCGCCAGGGGCTAGGCCCGCTGAACGGCCATCAGGGCCGTCACCGGAGCCGCATCCCCCTCGAGCGGGTATGCGCTGCTGGCCCGCTCCCTCGTGCGGTGTCCGCCACCCGTGCAGGTGGGCCGTCAGCGGGCAACAGGCCCACCGCCGTGGCCTCCGGTGCCTGGGGGGTCTCTGTCGGCCTCACTCGGGAGGGGCCTGGGGGCACACACACAGGATCGGACGTCACCTCCGTCAACGAGACCCGGCCGGTCAGGCACGCCGGATACATCATCAGCCGGCCGCTCCGGAATTGGGGGTGGATCCCCCAGGGTAGATGGAACATAACGTTTGAGCCGGGACGGGTGCACTATCCACTGCCTGCGACCGAATCGAATCCGGACGCATTGCGGCCGGCGGACCTCCACAACCTCCACGGGTCCCTGCCAAGGGCGATGCAATTTGGCCAATGTGCCAACGGGGACCTGGGGACAATGCAGCCACGCTTTTTGACCCGCTACCCACGGGAGGCCAGCTGCCTGGTGTTTTGGCAGCCGCTCATTAGCCGCCTGCCGGCTTGCGGAATTCTCGGCAGCGGCCTGTCGCGCCTCGCGCAGCCGGTCAAGTGCGACCTTCAAAGGGGTCGGCACCGCCGACCCCTTCTTGGAGGAGCCAACGTCCATCTGGACGTGCACCGGGGGCTCCGGTTCCCTACCGTACATCAAATAAAAAGGCGAAAATCCCGTGGAGGCATGAGGGGCCAACCGATACGCCGCCAAGACCCCCGGGACGAATAGGTCCCAGTCTGACTGGGACGTGTTCACCTGGTGGCACAGCATGGACGTAAGGGTGCGGTTCAAGCGCTCTACCATCCCGTCTGACTGGGGGTGGTAGGGCGAGGTGCGGACTTTCTTGGTGCCAAGGAGGTCACACACCTCCTTGAGCAACCTAGACGAGAAATTCCGCCCCTGGTCAGTCAACAATTGTTCCGGCGCGCCCTTGTCAAACACGTATCCCTGGACGAAGGCCTCGGTGATAGAAGAGGCCAACTGATCGACCAAAGGCCATGCCATGGGCCAACGTGTGAGGTACTCAACGCCCACCAAGAGGTATTTGTGGCCCCGTTGGGATGCAGGGAATGGCCCCAAAATGTCGAGCGCCACGAGCTCATTAACGCGAGAAACCCGGATGGACTGCAGCGGGGCCCGGTCCTGGACAACTGGGGCCTTCCTCCGCGCGCAGTCGTGGCAACCCTTCAAAATCAGTGCTACCCCTACGGTGCTACCCCTACGGCAGCCCCGCTAGATGCATGATTTTCGCCTTTTTATTTGATGTACGGTAGGGACCTGGAGCCCCCGGTGCACGTCCAGATGGACGTTGGCTCCTCCAAGAAGGGGTCGGCGGTGCCGACCCCTTTGAAGGTCGCACTTGACCGGCTGCGCGAGGCGCGACAGGCCGCTGCCGAGAATTCCGCAAGCCGGCAGGCGGCTAATGAGCGGCTGCCAAAACACCAGGCAGCTGGCCTCCCGTGGGTAGCGGGTCAAAAAGCGTGGCTGCATTGTCCCCAGGTCCCCGTTGGCACATCGGCACTTTCTGACAGGGGAGGCACCATGATCACTTAGGTGGTCCTCCCAGGGCGAGGCTCATCCATTGCACTGCGGGTGGGTTGACCCCTGCGATTTCCCCAAATGCGAGAAACCCGGATGGACTGCAGCGGGGCCCGGTCCTGGACAACTGGGGCCTTCCTCCGCGCGCAGTCGTGGCAACCCTTCAAAATCAGTGCTACGTCACCCTCAACACCCGGCCAGTAATAGTCCCGCTTAAGGGTCAATAAGGTCTTGTGGTAGCCAAGGTGCATAAGCTTCTCGTGAATGGCTCGGGTTAATTTACCACGCAGGCTAGTGGGCACAACCACACAATAGCGTTCCAATTGGGCATCCCAACGCATGAGTAGTCCGTCATGCACGGCGATCGCCGGGGCAGCCGACGAAGCTAAGCTCCGGGCGTTATGTCCGACACGGCGCCGTAGCTTCAGCAGAGAGGAATCCTCCATCTGCAAGCCGGACCATACCTCCCGGGGAAGTCCAAGGCCGAAATCTGCGGTCGACGCCGCACCTGGAGGGGTGTCCGCCTCGGCCGACGCGACCAACTGGGCCGCGGCGTCCCCTGGGGCCTTGCAACGGCTAGAGCCCAGGGCGCAAGCACACCCGCCGCCTGCCGGCAATCGGGATAAACCGTCCGCATTTCCATGCTGTGTCCCCTTCCTATGGATTACATCAAAAGGGTAATCCTGGAGCACTTCGAGCCAGCGAGACAGCTGACCCGAGGGCTGACTAATCTTCAGCGAATATTGCAGGGCCGCGTGGTCGGTTCGGACCGTAAACAGCCTACCGTACAAATATGGTCTATACAACTGAACAAAATAAACTATGGCCAAAAGCTCCCTCCGGGTCACACAATATCGCTGTTCCGTCGAGGACAGAACGCGACTGCCATAGGCTACCACCCTCTCAACCCCGTCGACCACCTGGGCCAGGACAGCCCCAATTCCCGTGTCGCTGGCATCGGTATCGAGCAGGAAGGGTTTCGTAAAATCCGGGTACCCCAAGGGCGGCGCATCCGCCAAGGCCGTGCGAAGCGCCGCAAAAGCCGCATCCTCCTCTGCGCCCCAGTGAAACCTTTGTCCTTTGGCGGAAAGGGCGTGCAGTGGCTTCGCAATTGTCGCAAAATCGCGGACAAACCGGCGATAGTACGATGCGAATCCAACGAAGCTACGCACCTCCGCGACAGATGTGGGAGTCGGCCACGTCCGGACACAAGCCGTTTTATCCGGGTCCGTGGCGACACCTGACGTGCTAACAATGTGTCCCAAATACCTCACCGATGGTTGTAGCAAGTGGCATTTCTGGGGTTTGAATTTCAAGCCAGCAGCACGCACTTTGACGAACACCGCCTCAAGGCGTTGCAAGTGCTCGCCAAACGTACGGCCAAAAACAATAACGTCATCCAAGTAGATTAGACAAGACTCCCACTGCAGCCCCGCCAAGACCATCTCCATGAGACGCTGGAAGGTGGCCGGGGCCGAATGGAGACCCATAGGAAGCCGATTGAACTCGAACAACCCCTGGGGCGTGCGGAACGCTGTTTTGGGTCTAGAGGCCTCATCCAGTGGCAATTGCCAGAAGCCGGAGAGCAAATCTAAAGTCGAAAAGAACCGCGCGCCCGAGAGGGCATCCAAGGAATCATCCATGCGAGGCAATGGATATGCATCAGCCACCGAGATCTTGTTCAATCTACGAAAATCGACGCAGAACCGGAGACTCCCGTCCCGTTTCTTGACTAGCACAATGGGGGCACCCCAAGGGCTAGTAGATGGGGAGATGATGTCCGCCGCCAACATTTCCTCGACAGCCGAGCGGACATGATCTTTTTCCGCTGGGCTAAAGCGGTGGGAATTAAGTCGAATAGGGGCCGCGTCGCCCGTGTCTATGTGGTGGTCCAAAAGAGTAGTGCGACCCAGATCAAACTTACTTTGGCTGAACACATCGGTGAACCGCTCGATGAGGTCGCGGAGTTGCCGACGTTCCCCGAAGGACAACGAGGCATTCTCGTCGCACAACGTGGCAATCCATGATGCGTCGGGGTCCCTCGTGCGCATCACGCCCGCCACGACCCCTCCATCCGGGGCAGCGCTCTCGGGTGGAGGAGCCGGGGTTGCGTGTGCCAGGACGGCGCCGGCCGGGACTACGACCGGCAAGGGTCCCGAATTGAGGACCTGCAAAAAAAGGTCCTGGCCCCCCGACACGGCTGTCAAGGCGCCCACCAACCCCTTCGTTCTTGAAAAGTAGCTTGACGGGGACAGGAGGATACCCGTCTCCGTGGAGCCCATTTCGAGCGGTTTGCGCAACCTAAGGGGTATCAGGATTTGTGACGCCGGTGGTACGGTCACCGGCACTTTATTCAAGGCCCGTACACCGGCGACCAAGGGAGACAGGACGGTAGGTGATTGTAGGAATTGCAGCCGCCTCCCTGACGGCATTTCCACACAGCCCTGGTCAACAAGAATTCGGATGGGCATCCTAGACAAAAAGTCGGTCCCCAAGAGGCATGGCACTGCCAAGGTCCTGGAGACCAAAATCGGCCCGGCCAATTCAATCTCGTCAACCCGAACCGACGCTACAACGTGGCCCAAGATGCCCAAACTGCCGCCGTTCGCGGCGACACAAGCCCCGCGAACCGGCCTTAATGGACCCACGCTGCGGGGTAGCAGCCCAAAAATGGCCTCAGAAATAATGGTGGCCGACGCCCCCGTATCCACCAGGAGGCGAACGTGCACCCCTTGCACATATCCTGCCACCGCTGAGGAGCCGGCAGCTGCCGCCACCATCCTATGCACAAGCGCATCCCAGTGGCGGGTCTGTCTGGGCCATTGAGGGGGTGATGACGATGGTGCACCCGACCCTTCGAGGACAACCCCATGACGATGGGCCCTAGCCCCGCTAGATGCATGAGGTGAAGGGAGCGGCCACGCAGATGATGCGTCGCGACTCGCCTGGGGCCCCGAACCCGATGCCAAGGAGGGTCTGGGAGAAGGTGGAGTCCCTTTTCCAAAGGCCCCCGGGGCATTCCGGCAGCCCCGCTCAATGTGGCCCCGCTGACCACAGCGGAAGCAGGCCACCGTGTCCGCCTCCTGTGGACGGGAAGGTCCCGGCCGCCCCCGCTGCTCCGGACGGCGACCACCCGTCCCCCTTCCCCGACGATCGGGCATCGCCAGGGCCGCGAGGGTGTCCACCCCCTGAGAGGTGGCCCCCCCGTCCGGCGCCAGGACCCCCGCACACGCCGCCATCTGAGGCCGTTGGCGGAGGGAGAGGTGCGCCTGAATGTTTTCTGCGACCGCCAAGGATGTGATCTGCCGATCATTGTTGATCGACAGAGCAATTCCTAGCTCCCTTGCCAGGTCAAGCAGCTTCCCCAAGGCCATAGAATCAAGTGCCCTGCCGTACAGGTCAGGGTATGCAGCCTGCGCCAGGGCCAGGAGCGAGCAGCGGAAGGCCAGCGGCAGTTCCCCCTCCTCCCGCCGCCGCAATGAAAACTTTAGCTGCGCGGTGGACGGCGGCTCAAAAACGTTGGCCATTTGGATATAGGCCGCCGGGAGTGTAGCCCGATTGGCCGGATGGATGGACTTGAAGGCCTGCAGAGCCCTTTCGTCCAAGCAGGTCGGAAGCGCCGGCAAGGCCTCCTCCATGGACCAGCCGACCGACATGTATGCCGCGTCGAACCGGTCCTGGAAGGCCGACCAGTCGCCCCCTTGCGCGACAAACGGCGCAACGTCGGGTAACCTGCGCTGCCATTGGCCGCGCGGCGCCGCGAGGTGTGGAAGCCAAGCGGCACCTGCGGGCCACCCAGCGGATGCGACGTGTTGCGGCGGTGGCAGCATTGCGGCCCCCATGGGCCACGCCGTAGACGCAGCGAAGTGTGGCTGAGTTGCGGCCCCCATGGGCCACGCCGTAGATGCAGCGAGGTGTGAAGGCGCCTGCGCTTTCGCGACCCACTTGTCAGCGGCGACGTACGAAGCCACGGCGTCGTCCCGCGACGCGGCGAGGGACCACGGCGTTGCAGCCTCAACGGGCCACGCCGAAGACGCGGCGGTGTAATTCGGGCCTGCAGCGGCCCCCGCGGCCCACCCCGCCGGCGCAGCGAGGTGCGGGACAGCGGCCGCAGCCGCGGCAACCTCTCGCGACGCGGCGAGGCACCACGGCGTTGCAGCCTCCATGGGCCACGCCGAAGACGCGGCGGAATAACACGCAGCCGCGGCGTCATCCATGAGAAGGGACGCAGGCACGGCGAGGTGCAGAGCCGCGGCATCGCTGGTGTCCGGCCCCGTGAGCGCAGCGACAGGTTGAGCCGCGGCAGCACCCGCGGCCCATTCCGGCGGCACAGCGATGTACGGGGCAGCAGCAGCCGCCGCTGCCCACCCCGGCGGCCCGGCGAGGACGGCACGCGCGTACTTACCCTGGGCCCCCCCGGCGGGCGCCGCTTGATGTAGAGCCGCGTCGTCGCCGGCGGCTGGTCTCGCAGGAGCGGCGTGCCGAGAAATCCCGGCCGCGTCGGTGGAGAGACGCGGCGTCGCGGTCGCCATGGCAGCCGTAGCAGCGGCCGCATATGGCTCCCGAGCCAACATGGCCGCCGCGGATTGCGTCGCAGCCAACATGGCGGCCATTTCCGGTGGAGCGGTCGCTGGGGCCCCCCCGGCGGGCGCAGCTTGATGTAGAGCCGCGTCGTCGCCGGCGGCTGGTCTCGCAGGAGCGGCGTGCCGAGAAATCCCGGCCGCGTCGGTGGAGAGACGCGGCGTCGCGGTCGCCATGGCAGCCGTAGCAGCGGCCGCATATGGCTCCCGAGCCAACATGGCCGCCGCGGATTGCGTCGCAGCCAACATGGCGGCCATTTCTGGTGGAGCGGTCGCTGGGAAAACTGCGGCGCTTTCAACGTTGGCAGTTGACAGTTGCTCCCGTCCTGCGTGCGGGGCGGTTGGCTGCGTCCGCGCCTCCACCTCGGCCAACCTGGCGGTCAGCTGCCCCACCGCCTGCAGGAGCTGCTGCAGCAGAGCTGCGGGGACGCTCTCCGTCTCTGGCGGCGGCGGTGAGCTGGCACTCCCCGCAGCCGACTCCTCCCGCTCCGGCCCGCTCGTCTCCACGGGGACCGTCACCGGGGTCCCGGGCTCCGGGGTCACTGCTGGAGCCTCCTCTCCGCCTTCGGCACCCTCCAAGTCATGTGCCGGTGGGTTCCTACGCCGTGCGCCCGCTTTATACATGTTGGCGACGGTGTAAACTTCTGACACCAGTTGTTGTATCGTAGACGGAGGTACTCGGAGACGGAGGTTGAGTTAGGGGCTTCCGCCAGGGTTTATTAACACTTATCACTATCCCTGGTTCCCTCTTTACCCCTTCCACTATCCCCGTTCCTCCAGTGACCCCGCTTACGTTACGGGGTCTCCCTTATATACCCTCGGAGGGGTGATGTCACGTTCACTGCCCAGCGCGTGCGACCCCACGTCCCGTGAGGTCACCGCACCGGACAGCGCACACGACGCCACCACTCTCCTCTACTCCTCTACACATGGACAAATAATACGTAGCAATTGCATATTACATAGTCATGGCATTCAAATCGTTTTGCGCACTAACTTGGTTTTGTATTACCATTTGCACATGTTAATAACCAATCCACGTTTGCAAATGTTACCAGAGTCATTCACCTAATCACATGGGTAGAGTTTGTGGGGGAGGGGGGTATGGGGGGAGCAAATGCCCCTCCCAAAACTGGACACCTTTATTAATTTATTTTCAGTAGTTTACAATTAAGATAAAAATGATTATATCCATCCGGGATTCTTAATGTGAGGGACAAAGCGAAACCCCTGCCCACCCCCCCCCCCCCCCCAAATATAGAAGTCAAACTCCGCCAATGCATAATCAGTTAACATTTCACCAATTCACATGTACGACATGTTTGAAACTCGTGTAAACTCGCGCTACGAAGAAGGGGCCCCACTGGCCTATCGTGTCCGTTCTCCTATTGAAGGCCACGCGTAGCGCTGCTGTTGGCGAACGCCCGGGTGGTTTTGGCGCAAACTACTCGCACCGACTCTTCGGCACTGGGCACTTGGTTGCGGGACACTGCTTGACAGCCGAAGTCACGTGACGTCGGGGCGGCGTGCCCTCTCTCTCTGTGCACGCGCGCAGCTTCTGCGCCATGGATCCCTACAAACGGGGCCGCGCCCTGCCGCGGGACGCACTCTTCGACGCCATGGCAACGTGCCACTCGCTGGCGCTCATTGACGGAGCAATCCAGGGCGATCCTCTGGACGTGCGCATGTTCGAGGCCACGCAATGGGTATCCCCCCTCCCCACCCTTCATCCCGGGGTCTTTGGGGATCATCATTAACTCTGCCGCTCGGGGTCCCTTTAATCACCGGCACACTGGTCTGTCACACAGTACTAATTGTCCTTTACCTTGCATGCCTCTGCAAATGTGCACACGTTGGTAACATACAACGTTCCAAAATCCATGCAGCAAAAACCCGCCCTTCTGCCAGCCACTTAGCCAAATCCCCCCTTAGCTAATTTACGCATTTAGTTTTCGCATCATTCTGAGCTTGTAGTGTGTGGTAAGTACGTGTCATTTTACATCTAAGTTTAAGTTTGTGAGTCGTGAGATAGCTTCGGGAGTAGAATGACGAATTTATTAAACCATTTTTCTTTTAGCAGGTAAGGCCCCACTGAGCTGTCTAGTTATTTTTACGAAGCGACCTTGGCCACGATTGGTAGCTCAACGAAGTGGCTAATGATTGGGAAATGTATAGAATCCAAACACTCTAAACGCATGTTGATTCTAAATGCGGAGAGAAAAATCTACATGACCACGGAGAGAGAGAGACACGCAAACTCCAAACATACAGGCGTCAAAATTCGGGATCGAACTCATGACCTCCCGTATACCAGGCGAGGTACTTAACATCTGGTGGTCACCACTGGAACGGCGAGTGTCTTGGGACGTCCGGCAAAAGAAGCACTGCAGTGTTTGGAGCGTTTGTCTCGGAAATTCGACGGGCGTCTTAAACCTTCCGTCCGCGTCAAGCGAGCCCATCGTCCAGGATCAATCAAACGATTGTTCGCGAGTCGTCATTTCATGAGAAACCACCACAGTAGTTGCCCTCTGTGAATAGACTGGTACCCTCTGCCTTCGGAATGTGGAGTTTCCATGGCTGGCTCAGGGCCGCCAATGGAGATGAGCTTTGTTATGAGCAGAGAGACTCTTCAACTGTTTGAGATACAACCGTGGTTTAGGCCGTTGCTCCGAATTATACACCTAACCGGGACTTTTGGCAACACCTTTACCACCTCTCTTGCCTACGGGGCCATGCTGATTTGTTGGGAACCTTTGTCAAGTGTCACTGCTGTTGCCCTTCCCCGTCTTCCTCTCAAACAGGTCATGGAGGAGACGGATGAAGAGGTGTCGGTCGGCAAGCTCAAGTTCCGCCCCATTTGTGTCCTGTCTCCACCAGTGGTCGAGACATCGGTGACCATCACACTCACACACTCACTCTCAGCTGGGCTTTGTTAATCGCCCTGAGCCCTCTGCTTGCTCAGTAGGGATGTTCCCCCGAGTTTTTGGATTCATCCGAAGAAATCTTTAAATCAGGCTTAGGTACGATATTTTTAATTATGCGAAAAAATAGATTGTTTTGGATTGATCCGAGAGTATGACGTCACAGGATATGACATCACTCATCGCCCTTGACTATCGTGTTTTCCCCTCCCAAGAGCGTTGTCACATCACACAGTGACGTCACTTTTGTCAGCACAAAGGCTTGTTCAATTAAGAAATTAAAGGATCCGAAAATGCAAAATTTTCCTTATGAATATGAAAATCCAAAACGTGCTTTTTTTTCTTTTAAGTCTGAATACTCATGCCGATTGCTTAGCATCAATAGGTATACTTTTACACAGCGCTCGCTTGTAGTATTCAACAAAAAGCAGTCGGGTTTATTGATGATCCAGCGCTCACTGATTAACCGGCTCACCAGCTGTCAGTCGCCTTGTGATGCTGGGAAACATCCTGCTCCCCAGCGCTGCACCCTCCTCTCCAGCACTGCTCCCTGCTGCCCAGCGCTACACCCTGCTCTCCAGCGCTGCTCCCTGCTCCCCAGCGCTGCACCCTGCTCCCCAGCGCTGCACCCTCCTCCCCAGCGCTGCACCCTGCTGCCCAGTGCTGCACCCTGCTCCCCAGCACTGCACCCTCCTCCCCAGCGCTGCACCCTGCTGCCCAGTGCTGCACCCTGCTCCCCAGCACTGCACCCTCCTCCCCAGCGCTGCACCCTGCTCCCCAGCGCTGCACCCTGCTGCCCAGCGCTGCACCCTCCTCCCCAGCACTGCACTCTCCTCCCCAGCGCTGCACCCTCCTCCTCAGCGCTGCACCCTCCTCCTCAGCGCTGCAGCCTGCTCCTCCACGCTGCACCCTCCTCCCCAGCGCTGCACCCTCCTCCTCAGCGCTGCAGCCTGCTCCTCCACGCTGCACCCTCCTCCCCAGCGCTGCACCCTGCTCCCCAGTGCTGCACCCTCCTCCTCAGCGCTGCAGCCTGCTCCTCCACGCTGCACCCTCCTCCCCAGCGCTGCACCCTGCTCCACAGCGCTGCACCCTGCTCCCCAGCGCTGCACCCTGCTCCTCAGTGCTGCATCCTTTTCCCCAGTGCTGCACCCTGCTCCCCAGCGCTGCGGCACGGTGACGCGTGGCGTGCCCACGTGCCTCCCGCAGGAGCCCGCCACGAGCCTGGCTGTGCTGAAGCAGTTCACCTTCTCCTCGTCGCTGCAGCGCATGTCCGTGATGGCGCGGCTGGCCTCCGGCGAGGCCTGCGCTTTCATGAAGGGCGCTCCCGAGAAGGTGGCCGCCCTGTGCCTCCCCGACACTGGTACGCCACGCGCCAGAGGCATTCCCGCAACAGAATCAGAAAATGTTAATTATCCTGGAGGAATTTGATCAGCTATGAGGCTCTTCTTCACGGATGTCCAGTTGGGGCACGGGGTCAGAACGTGACAACAACAAGCAAATATAAAAACACGATAGGAGTGCAAAGTATGGGAAAGGTAAATAAATCTAATAAAACTCAGCTACTTTATCTTACCAGGTAAAGCCCATTGAGCTATTAACTTATTTTTCAAAAGCGACCTGGCCACAAATGATAGCTCAACAAAGTGGCTTATAACGTGTAAATGTAAATAATAAGCTAAACAACAACCCGGTCACTAAAATTTCGATTTAAAGCTTTTGTGACTGCAGGGATTCATATTCTTGGTTCTTACAGTCACGTAGAAGGGAAACAATAAAATAATAAAAATAAAACAATAAAATTCTCACGACGTTTTGATTACAACACAAGCAATCATCAGCAGGTGTGAAAACCACAACTTTTTAATTTATTTTCTTGCTGTGATTTTCACACCTGATGATGATTGCTTGTGTTGCAATCGAAACCTCGTGAGAATTTTATTGTTATATTTGTATTATTTTATTATTTCCCTTCTACGTGACTTTACCGAAAGAATCAAGAATATGAATCCCTGCAGTCACGAAAGCTTTAAATCAAAATGTAACGTTGTACAATTTACGATGCTCGTGACAAAAGAACACGAGAATATGAATCCGGTCACTGCTGACAGCCTTACAAGCGACCAAACAAACCCCGAAGAATATTCTTCTTCTGTTGATCGGTTTTTATCCGTCATTTATGTTTCTGACGCTCGGATGCGTTTGGTCCGCGTTGCACGCACGCACCGCGTCGTTCGCACACGCACACCGCTAAACCTTGCCGCCCCCCCCCCCCCCCCTCGTGCGCTTCGCAGTGCCATGCGATTTTGAGAAGGAGCTGCACAAATACGCAGCTCAAGGGTACCGCGTCATCGGCTTCGCCTCCCGGCAGCTCGGAGAGAACGAGCTCGGCATGGAGAGGTGAGCCCGGCAAGGATACAGCGGGGTGTTGCGGTGGGACATAGCCACCTATCATCATAAGGCATCAGGTCTGCATTAACCACACTTGCTTTGATAACGTATGCATTGTCCTGGACACTGCTTGGTGTTACAAGAGAGACCACCCTCCTTTCATGGCCTCGTTTCACCAGTGTTGGACCAAAGGATGGCAAAAGGTGAATGGCATAAAGGCAATGAAAATATGAAAGCATGAATAGCTCAGGTCAAGCAGTTAAATATACGGGGGACCCATTTTGCCATCGTCTTGATACTGGAAAAAAGTGTCTCGATAAATTAACTCTCTTACTTTTCTGGGTTTTACGCAGGTACAGCATTGCATTGTGGTGCAGCCCTTGTAGCATTGGCGAAGAGAGGGTGGGGGTCGGCCTGGGGGGGGGCTCAGCCCCCCCCACACACACGAGATATTGGCTTAATCACAGGCGGTTGCCTGGATTCGAAACTGAGATCTCGGTAGTTGACAGCTCGGTGCTCTTGAGCTCTGAGCACCACACAGCCACCTCGGGCAACATCATTATTTTAAACGTGAGTCCGCGTTGTTGCGAGGCGAACCAATCGCATTCGAGGCCTGGCGTTGTGAAACCCGGCGGTGAATCGGTCGCGCGTCCTGACGCGACGTGTCCTCGCTTGGCCATCTCCGGCCGCCCGCAGGGACAAGGTGGAATGTGGCCTCACGTTCCTCGGCCTCATGATCCTGGAGAACAAACTGAAGCCCGAGACGCAGGCCGCCCTGGAGGAGCTGCGGAAGGCACGCATTCGCACTGTCATGATCACAGGTCTGCGCACCGTCGCTCACTCACAGCAGCGTTTGCCGCACGTGGTGTCGATACCGTCGCAAACGAAACCTTGCCACAGCGAGCAAATCGTGGGCTAAAAAAAACGAAACCGAGCCATTTGTATTTGACCAGGTAAGGCCCGCTGAGCAATAGATCTCTTTTTCAGAAGCGACCTGGCCACAAATGATAGCTCAACGAAGTGGCTACTTTGGTGTTGAAACATCTGAACACCTCCTGTTTTATTACCAGAAAGGGTAAAATCCTCTTCTTAATCTTTTTTGTTCACAGGGGATAACATGCTGACTGCCGTGACGGTGGCGCGTACCTGCGGGATGGTGCCACCGCTCCATGACGTTGTCTCGGTGATGGACAGGGAGTCGCCCAAACACCGGCGCCCGGACATTGTCTACGCGAAGATGGAGAAAGCGATCGGCGCTTGGGACACGAACGTACGGGGGGACACCCCATAGCCCCCTGCCACTTGTCGCTCATATTTCAACGCTAACAACTTTCTCATTCTGAATAATACGTCGTTGTCATCGTTGTCGTCGTTGTCAGCTGTTATCTGTCACCTCCTGGATGAGGGGCTCCCAATGCCGTCGTCGTGTTCATCGCTCCGTCTCCGCACGGTTGACGTCCTCTCAGGCGTTGTTCCCTCTCCTGACTGTCTCCAGGTCGTCTCAAACCACCACCCATCGTTCCTTCTAACGACGTCCCCTTTCCCAAGCCCACTCTTTTTTAACAATCCATGCACTCCCTCTCCTGTCTCATAGCAATTCCAAGAACTATTGAGACCACTCACACCACCTTATTAACTGGCCACGCTATCTGTATCAGCACACAGCCTGTTGCAAATACCTGCTCAGATTTACAAATAATAGTGTCATTTTGAACCTGAGCCCCATGTCCTTTTCCTCAACTTTCCTGCCACATTCTATACTGAACTTTCGAGTTGTTTACCATATTCCATGCAATTATTTGATTTCTCCAAACGCGCATAATCCACTCAAAGCCCAGACATGCTTTGTAGCGTTGTGATTAAACTAGAATCTCAAGCGCAGTCACCAATGACTGCACAGAAAAGCAAAAAAAACGTACCACGTTTCATTTGTTTCTGCGAGAAAGTGCTGTCCCTCGACGAGAGGTCCCTTGAAGGGATTTCAGAGGTTCTGGTATCCGCTTCTGCAGCCATTCTTTGACACGGAGGGCTGCGCTGCTCTTTTGCACGAGGTTCGAATGGATTCTCACACCTCGCGACGCCGCGGCGCCAATAGTGCAGTCGGGGGGGATAAAATTGGGGGAGGGGGGACTGATAACAAATGTATTAATTTTACAAGACACAGACTGGACACTTGATCACACGCCGTGACCTCGCTTTCTTGGACCCCCCCCCCCCCCCCCCCCCACTCTGGTCCTCTCACAGGACGTGCATTTGACTGTGAACGAGTCAACCAAGCCGACCGCTACCTTCCACTTTGCCATGACGGGCACCACTTATGCCGTGCTGCTGCAGCACTACCCAGAGCTGCTGCAGAAGGTGAACGCCTACACTCGCCAACAACAACAACAACAGCCGCCAATCGCCACTAAGTGGCGGTGACGTCACCATGGCGTTTGTGCCAGGCTATGTGCACTTTAAAGCCACGTGAAGTGTCGAACGCCCACTGGCAGCAGGTCACGGGACAGACCCAGGTGGCCATGGGTGGACTCGCTGAGATGACTGGCCGATGCCCCAGCTGTGCCCCCTACTGTGCCTACGCTCACCACTACTTCATTCGCCAACGAGTGCGTGGTTCTAATTTTGAAGGTTTCATTGTTAATATTCCGGACGTGGCTTGCTCATCCCTTCATCCTCTCTCCAGGGTAGATGAAAAAATAAGTATCACTTTACACCATTGGAACCTCCTTTGCCAGTAGCAAAATATGATAATTGTTTTTTTACCCTTTTATCTGCAACAAAACTGACACCTTTTTTTACAAGGAGTCATGTTTGCATTGACCACAATACCTGCGGTCGGAATGCAAACAAAAAACACAACTCTGATAATGTATGCACTGTCCTTAAAATTGATTGGTCCACACCCGAGACAGCTTTTCTTAGAGCCTCGTCTCACATGGTGTTGGACCAGTGCATACATTATCAGAGTTGTGTTTTTTGTTTGCAGGTATTGTGGTCAATGCAAACATGACTCCTTGTAAAAAAAGGTGTCAGTTTTGTTACCAGATAAAAGGGTAAAAAAACAATTATCAAGTATAACTTTGTGGGAAGCCGTCGTTTTTCCTGCAATGATGATGTGGCGATGACTTTGATCGATCTGTGCTTCTGCAGATAGTGATGAACGGGACGGTGTTTGCCAGGATGTCTCCTGGCCAGAAGGCGAGCCTTATCGAAGAGCTCCAGAAACTTAAGTGAGTCCCGCAGTTGCCAGCACTAAGACACTGGTGTGCACTTGAGTGTGCTCGTGGGCACGGCGATGCATTGAATCCCTCGAGACGGTGATGGATGGGTCATGGTCGAAGCGTTTATGAAAGTGAATTTCACGCGCGGTATGACCCGAAAACACGTCGGAGAGTCGTGTGTGTCGTCTCGCGCGTGTCGTCTCGCGCCTTGTCGCGCCGTGCTCATGGCCGTTCTCTCTGTTTTCCTGCAGCTACTATGTTGGCATGTGTGGCGACGGAGCAAACGATTGTGGGGTAAGTAATTTTATCTACTTACATGTGTGTGTATATATATTAGAACAGGGGCAATTGCTGCTGGAATCATATTCGATTCTTGTAATTCCACCCTGAATGATTTCTGTAGTCATCGCGATTCTCGTAAGAACGATCCCCATGTGAAAGTCTCATCCATTTGTGTCGGGTTCCGGTTGGCCACTCGGCCGCGGAATAATCTTTCGGTGGAATGGGATTCGACAGCGATTCCAATTGTGGCTTCAGCTTTAGCTAATCCCAGGGTTCACAGAGTCTTGAGACTGTCGTTGATGAGTGAAGCACGTTATTATGAGTAGTATTGTAATTTCACTTCCTCGCTACCCCACTAATAGTACAGGAGAACCCCTCTAAACGACGGTAATTGGTTCCACGAAACCGATCTTTAAGCAAGCATAGGGAATACATGTAAAAGGCTTAATTCGTTCCGATAACAAACTCCTTGGTTCTTTCGGTAAAGTCACGGAGGTATAAATAAAATAAATAATTTCTACCTCCGTGACTTTACCGAAAGAACCAAAGAGTATGGATTCCTGCAGTCACGAAAGCTTCAAATCAAGATCGTTCCGATAACATCGAAAGTTACCTTTTTCACCCCAAAAAAGTACTTTAAACAATGGATATTAATACACGAAGATACTAACAACATAAACATAATATTAAAAGAAACATGGTTAATCAATGCATTAATATTTAGTCTACCTACAACAGCCCGTCATTAACAGCGGAATGTTCGGTAAGTGGACCCATTGGGCTCTATGGAGGCCCGTCGTTAAGCGATTAGTCGTGAACAGCGGTGGTCGTTAAGAGGAGTTCTGCTGCATAAAGGTGCAACCCTGTAATTACTTGCTCATGCTGGCAGAAGCGCTTCCACTAGAGGAAGCTCCGGAGGGAGCTCACGTGTAGCGTCTACCACTTCAGCTCCGTCTAGAGGGATGCTTGGCCTACTCTTCCACACTCGCGAGATGCCTTTGAGGAGGTGCGAGTACCAACACACTACCCCACCACACACGATCTGCCAATGAACAAACTGTGGTGCACCCATTTATACGGCAGGGTGGACAGACACTTTCCCGTTGTTTCAACTGCCACGCCGAGAGGTCAGACTGACGACTTCGGCTGCCTGCTGAAGTCGTGATAGACGCAGCACATGGGGGGGGGGGGGGGCGTGGTAGACACAGCACGTGGGAGGGGGGGAGCGTGGTAGAAGCAGCACGTGGGATAGGAAGCATGGTAACGCAGCACGTGGGACGGGGGGGAGCGTGGTGGACGCAGCACGTGGGGCAGGAAGCGTGGTAGACGCAGCACGTGGGGAGGGGGAGCGTGGTAGATGCAGCACGTGGGAGGGGGAGCGTGGTAGACGCAGCACGTGGGAGGGGGAGCGTGGTAGACGCAGCACGTGGGGCAGGAAGCGTGGTAGACGCAGCACGTGGGGAGGGGGAGCGGGGTAGACGCAGCACGTGGGAGGGGGAGCGTGGTAGACGCAGCACGTGGGAGGGGGAGCGTGGTAGACGCAGCACGTGGGGAGGGGGAAGCGTGGTGGACGCGGCACGTGGGAGGGGGGAGCGTGGTAGACGCAGCACGTGGGATGGGGGGGAGCGTGGTAGACGCAGCACGTGGGAGGGGGAGCGTGGTAGACGCAGCACGTGGGGAGGGGGAGCGTGGTGGACGCAGCACGTGGGAGGGGGGAGCGTGGTGGACGCAGCACGTGGGGCAGGAAGCATGGTAGACGCAGCACGTGGGAGGGGGGAGCGTGGTAGACGCAGCACGTGGGAGGGGGGAGCGTGGTAGACGCAGCACGTGGGGCAGGAAGCGTGGTAGACGCAGCACGTGGGGCAGGAAGCGTGGTAGACGCAGCACGTGGGACAGGGGAAGCGTGGTGGACGCAGCACGTGGGAGGGGGGAGCGTGGTGGACGCAGCACGTGGGACTGTTGTGCACGCAGGCACTGAAGATGGCCCACGCCGGCATCTCGCTGTCGGAGCAGGAGGCCTCGGTGGCGTCCCCCTTCACGTCCAAGATCCCCAACATCGAGTGTGTGCTGCACCTCATCAAGTACGAGCACCACCACCACCACCAGCGGCCGGCGTGCACGCGGGGCTCACGTCGACACTCGCGTGTACATCACATCCCTCCTTCACCACGGCCAGTCTCTCAAGCCTCTGATGCATGTTCAGCTCATGCGGATTCTCGGCCCCAAACACTTGAATCCTTAAGCTCGACGCACAATTACGACTCGGTCACCCACATCCCGACGCACAGTTTGCTTCGTTCATTGTTCACATTGCCGTGCAATAGTTACCCCATGTATCGTGCTCACATTTCGACGGTGTGTGACGGTGTACATTTGTTTGCATTCCGGGCGAACGTGGCTTCATTAACCCCCCCCCCCTCCCTTAACATTGCATGTATTGCAGGGAGGGTCGAGCAGCCTTGGTGACCTCCTTCTGTGTGTTTAAGTACATGGCCCTGTACAGCATGATTCAGTACATCAGTGTGCTCATCCTGTACTGGGTAAATTCACCGCACAAACCACCGCTCATCAGCATTCCCTTGCGACGCCGTGCCATGTTCGGTTCCACGTGTCCTGCATCTGCTCTGCTGCTGCTGCGTTGCCCAGAGCTCGCTTCTCTTTTTAAATCCTTTATATTAAGTTCGCTTGCTTGCTTAGGACCGTGCAAATCTTTCGGTCGTTTTTTAACCCACTTCCAGTGATCCAATCGAGCTGACATTTTGCACACAGACTCGTTGTGCGAGACAATTAATGTTCGTGAAAATTTGTTTCCAAAATTTAACATTTTGTAGGCAAAAAAAATTATTTTACATTTATTCAAATAGAACTCATTCATGGCTTTGGCTGAACGTCACAGTGTAGGAGCCCAGAGCGTGACACCTCCACAGGCCGTGGCGGAGTAGCGCAGTTGGTAGCGCCCTCGCTTCCCATGCCAAAGGTCACGGGATCGATCCCGCGTCCTCCACAAGCGAATATATTTTTAAATCCTTTATTAAATCCTTTATATTAAGTTCGCTTGCTTGCTTAGGACCGTGCAAATCTTTCGGTCGTTTTTTAACCCACTTCCCGTGATCCAATCGAGCTGACATTTTCCACACAGACTCGTTGTGCGTGACAATTAATGTTCGTGACATTTTTTTTCCAAAATTTTACACTTTTTAGGACAAAAATATTATATTTAATTACCAATTGCTTAATGGTGCAATGCAATCATCTGACCCATAGGTGGCAGCCATCTCAAGCCAGAGGACGGGAGGACTCTAGCCGCCACGCATATAAAGGATTTATAGTGAAAAACTTTTTTTTTACTGGTTATACTTATTTCTCCTGGCTTACCGGGGGCTCCTCCGTGTGTGGTCGGGGCATTTCTTGGTTGATAACCACTCGGCTGGCTTCTCTCTGCACGTTCGGTGACTGTCTCGCTGTTGGTGGAAACGCTCATCGTGGACAAATCGCCGATTGGCTTCCGGTGTTTATCTTGGCAGCGGGTGGCTACGAACCCTCTGTGGGCTGTGAATGCCTTGGGGGAGAGCCCCCCATTACCGTAAAAAGACAACACATGAAGGAGATGCATTGCTTTGTATTTTCCCGTTCACGTATTGTCCAACAACAACGTTCATGATTATTTTGAGTTGATGTATAACGATATCGTTTTGCGTCAAAACTTGGACCCTGTGGTAGCGTCAAGAGAGGGGGGGGGGTCCCTTGCCTGTAAGATCGGCAGTTCACCTTCATTGATTCAAACAAGCCTGACTGATAGTTTATGAGACACTGCATGTTGAAACCGGTCCAGTTTTGCTTGTCTTGAATCAATGCTGCTGAAACTATGCACTCTCCCAGTAGGCCATGCGGCTGATGGCTTGTGAAGTAGACCTTGTATTGTCTGCTTATTTGTTTCATTCCGGCAATCAGTAATGTTATATGTTGTCTGCAGTCATCAGCGCAGGCTATTTAGAACACGCGGAAGATCGTATCACCGCGCGTTTCCACCAGCACGCCGAGAGAGAGGTCGTTGTGCATGAATCTTTTAGCCTTTCTTAAAAATATATATATATTTTCTAACGTCTATTCTTTATTCTTTGTCGGGACAGTCGAATGCTTAAGGGAGTATGGAGACACTTTTACTAATGCCTGACGCTACTTGTGCATCTCACGGCGAGTGTGGTGCTTCCATATTTCGGCCAGGGGGCCCAGCGGGTTCCAGTAATGACGCGCCGGCACATTTTCCTCGCCTGAATATCGTACTAGGCCCCTGTGTTTTTAACAGGGAGGCGGATGTTGCTTCACTGGGCGACTGAGCACCATCGTTTGTTTTCCCGTAGAAACTTGCTGGCTTCTCCAACTACGAGTTTCTCTATCAGGACCTGGTGATCACCACCGTCATCGCCGTCACCAGTGAGTGTTGCATCATCCACTTCAAATTTTATGGGGGGGGGGGGGGGGGCAGGGTTTGCAAACAACATATCAGGGATAGCTGCCTCTGGGGGTTCCCTTTGTCCCGTGTGCAATCGGACATTGGAAGAGTTAGAGTGAGATGTGATGAGAGGCGCTTTGAGTTGCCGAGGAATGCGAGTGGCCCCACAGAGCGGTGTTCTTCATCGCAAGGTCCGCAGGGGCGGACCTTGCAATTGTGGCCGAAACGTCGTGACAATTGTATTTTATTATGTTTTATTTTTATTATTTTATTATTTCCCTTCTACGTGACTTTACCGAAAGAACCAAGAAGATGAATATATACATATATTTTTAAATATGAAAAATATAATATATAGATATATATTAAAAAAATCTATATAATGTACATTTTAAAAATATAGATATAAAAAAGAGTGAATACTATATATAAATACACGCACACAAAAATGCAAATCATCACGTAAAACCCCCTTGCATGTTGTGCCCCAGTGAGCCTGAACCGGGCTCACCCGAGCCTGGCCGCGTACCGCCCGCCCCAGCAGCTGGTGTCGCCGCCCTTCCTGCTGTCCGTGGTGCTGCACGTGGTGCTGACGCTGGCCTGCCAGGTGCTGGGCTACCTGCTGATGCAGCGGCAGCCGTGGTACTCGGACGTGGCCTACAGGTGTGATCCCACGGGGGGGGCGGGGGGGGGGAATTCTCTGGAGGTGACGGGGTGAGAAGAGGGGCACATGAGGACGCGTTGGAAGTGGTGGTGTTGTTGGTGGTGGTGGAGGAGGTGTTGGTGGAGGTATTGGTGTTGGTGGAGGTGGTGGTGGCAGCGGTGGTGGAGGTGGGGGCTGCGCCGGTGGTGGCAGTGGAGGTGTTGGTGGTGGAGGTGGTAGCGGTGGAGGTGGAGGAGGTGGTGGCGGTGGAGGTGGTGGTGGCACGTTAGGGGGGGAGAGATTCCCCCATTGCGGAGGTGGATTTCTGGCCAAGACCCAGCAGCCTCTCTCTCTTTCTCTCTGCAATTATTTATTTTTTTTAATGCAAAAAATGCATGAAAAGTACAAATTACCAGACGAAATATCATTTGGAGGTAAATGAGCGATACTAATAAATAAGAATAAAATATTCAGGTTTCCCTTGCTTTATGTGGGAGATGCATTCCAAAAAGGGTGCACAAAGCGAAACCGCACACGGAGACACAGCACACACACACAGCAGTACCCACAGTACACACAGCACACACACAGTAGTACACACAGCACACACACACAGTGCACGCAGTACAAACACAGTGCACGTGCAGTAGACAGTACACACACAGTACAAACGCAGTACGCGCACGCAAGTACACACAACATACACAGTACACACACAGTATACTAACAGAATACAAACATTACGCACACAGTACATACACACAGCAGTACACACACAATATTGTCCCACGTCCAACTGCTTAGGACACATGAGTGAATCAAAACCACATAGAGCCCATTTTGGGTAATAATGTGAGCCACATTTATGCGAAATCGCACAAACTGAACGTGCATCGAGCGAGGGAAACCTGCACAATGCGCACAGTTACCCAACATCTCCAGTCGCAACTCCAGAGGCGTAGAGCCAGGTCCGGGTTTAACTCGCATGCTCCATGAGACAGATGAGAGCAGCCTCAGCTGTCTCTTTAAAGTGCATTTGCTGCTGCTGCTGCTGTATGTGTGGAGGGATGCGATTCCAAACGGTCGGAGCAGCCACGGAGAAACGGCACTCTGCTTGGCACCGTCTTGGTTTTGGCGACTAGCGAGTGAGTTGGATGGAAATGACCAATTGTTTTGAGGTGTGTAATTTCGACACCAATTTACAAACTAGAAACGTGTTGGAGTGACATATTTAATTTACTATGTACTCCAGATACGCTTGTTAACTCGGCGGTGTAAACAGGGTTACACCACGGTCAGTCGGCATCTTGCGTGTGTGGTGGGGTCAAGTGTGAGTACTGCCAATGTATGTACGTCGAACTTCTTTCACACCGTACGTAGCCAACCGTGCTAATCGGAGGTGCAAGGGAATAGTGGAATAGTAGACTAAACACCCTTTGGTGGCGAACCTCTAGAGCAAAAAAATCCACAGACTACCTGCTGGATCTCCTCTCTGTTTCGAAGAACAAATGTGACCTCAGGTTTTCGCTCATTTACCATCTTCACATTCCTTATTGATACTGAAGGGCCTTTGCTATTGATGCCCCCAGGGTCTGGAATGCCAATAAACTCAAACTTGAATCACTACCTGTGAAGATCTTCACTCAAAACTGCTCTAGAGGAGTTGTACACCCCTAGCTGCCACTGCTATTCAGTGGCCTAAAATCAAATGTTTCGCTCCGGATGACCGCTGCAAAGTATGATCTGTGTTTTGATTTAGTGTGCTGATCTTTAAAGGTGCATTGAAAAATGTTGATACTCCTACAGATGCTCCTGCTGTTGTGGAGTGACTCATGCAGCCAGTTATGGCTGCAGGGTCTGGTGGTACATGTTGTTTATGTCGTTTATTGTAAAAGTTTGGTCACAGTTCCTATGATCCACCCGATTCAAGAGCCGAATGGTTCACAGGGATATACCAAATAAATGAAAACTGAAACTGAAGTAGTTCTCATCCGGGGGTACGCGTACCCCTGAGAGGGGTGTGTGGCAATGTCCCAGTTTTGTACGCGAGGTGATTTATTAATGTGTGAAATTATATCACACATGAGAGTCATTGGTGAATAATCAAGTATAAATCTGCCCACATAAAATAATTACGATAACATTTAAATCCAGATGGTAAGCTAGAACGATATAAAAGACCTTTATAAACTCATTGATCGTACACAATGTGGTGTCCAAGAGTAGCCAGCGAGCGCGAACAGATAACTTCACGCATGAAGAGCGTCCGTTGCAGGTCCTAGCTAGTTAGGATACCTCACAAAATGGACAATCGGTTAAAATGTTGAGATTCATTATCCATACGTTTATTTCTCAGAACCGTTTTGGGTCAGGCAAGTGGGGTATACTCGATTTCAACAAGGGGGGGGGAGGGGGTACAAGAGCCCACACAAGGTTGATAGCCACTGCTCTGGAGCTCCAAGCGTTGGCGTGCGCGACCGATTGCGGGGCTGCCGCCCGTACCTTTCACTTCGCTTGACACGACTTGCGATGCGGAACCACGTTGTGGGCGCGGTGCGCAGCTACTGCGGGGTGCCCAACTCGACGGAGCCCGGCGGGCCGGGCAACACGACGAGCGCCCCCGCGGACGACGCACCGCCCTGGTCCGAGTTCGCCAGCTACGACAACTACACCGTGTGGTTCCTCTCCGTCTTCAACTGCATCACCGCGGCCTTCGTCTTCTCCAAGGGCCGGCCCTTCCGCCGGCCCATCTACACCAACTGTGAGTGCGCCACGTTGCCTGGCGAGTGACGGGAGCGAGCGTCTCTGCGGAAACTCTCGCCCCGCCTGGGAATCCCTTGGCACACGAGGGATTGGTCCCTTGGTCAGAACCTCAGGGGCGTCGCCACGGTGGCGAGATGTTAACTACCTCGCCTGGTATGCAGGAGGTCGTGGGTTCTATCCCGACCCTGACAACGCCTGCTGCTGCTTTATATTTGGAGTTTGTGTGTGTCTCTCATCATCATCACAGTGGGTAGGAGATGTTAACTACCTCGCCTGGTATGCAGGAGGGTCGTGGGTTCTATCCCGACCCTGACAATGCCTGCTGCTGCTTTATACTTGGAGTTTGTGTGTGTCTCTCATCATCATCACAGTGGGTAGGAGATGTTAACTACCTCGCCTGGTATGCAGGAGGTCGTAGGTTCGATTCCGACCTTAACGCCTGCTGTATATTTGGAGTTTGCGTGTTCTCCCCGTGGTTGTGGATTTTTCTCTGGGTCCTCCGGTTTTTCCCTACACATTTATAAACATGTTTTTAGATTATTTGGCTGCTATATATTTCCACGTGATGTTGGGCCACTTCATTGAGCTATAATCTGTGGCCATGTCGCTTCTGAAAAAGAGCTACATATTTCAATGGGCCTTACCTGCTATTTTTTTCATATAAACAACTAATAATTAACTGTCCTACAGCCCAGATCAGTGCGTGCAGCGCATGTGCGTGTTAGTGTACATACGATACAATATAAAGTACGGTGTGTATGTGTGGGCTGTGTGCTGTGTTCTCCAGCTAGCCGGGGTTTTACTGAACTGTATAACTTCAGTGCAATTAAATCTGGTTTCCATAATCACCATGACCATACGAAGTGCAGTCTGCTTCACAGTGCACATTAAAGATGCCCCCCGCTGAGTTCATTCTCCAGCGTCGGCCATAGTGAGGCCCCGGCGTCGCGGTCCAAATTCGCCAAATGAGAAAGTTGGACCGCAATTTGCTTCATCGGGATTGCACATGGTAATCATCGGCCCTGTATTGGTAGGCCCATTGGTCCAGAGATCACTCTTGAAAGTGTCACCATTCTGGCCTCGTTCAGTTCTGACCTGCTTAAACGAAATATGAAACTATTCCCTCGTTTTGCATTAAGGATGTTAGCAAATGCAGCCTGGAGTGTTAACAGCCTTTTGAGGAAATCCATTCAGGTGGCAGCATGGGCAGTGCATTGGCCTCATGATCAGGAGGTTGTGAGTTCAAACTCTGATCAGGGCTTGACTCAATGTGTTGGTTTTTCGCCCTGGCTAAGAACCCTGGTGTAGGCTAAATGCTCATTTAAGCTCAGAGACACTTTGCTTTATCCCAAGTTGTGGACTGCATTGTTTTTTTTTGTTGGTGACAAAATGCATTGTTAAAGGACGCAACATTGCCCTCTACTGTGAAGACTTGGCAGCACCGTGCTGAAAATAATTATTGAGATTCTAAACTAAAAACGAAACTATTTAAATTTAACCAGATAAGGCCCACTGAGCTATTTAGCTCTTTTTTTAGAAGTGACCTGACCACAATTGATAGGTCAACGAAGCGGCTTATAACGTGGAAATTTATAGCAGCCAAACACTAAACGCATATTTCTAAATGTGGAGGTCCTGAAGAACTATCCATGTGGCCACGGGGAGAGAGACACGCAAACTCCAAATATACAGCAGCAGGCGTCCGGGTCGGGATTGAACCCACGACCTCCGCAGCGAGACTTTAAATGGGTGAACAACCATAATCATAATACAATTGATCATCCTTCATGACCACAGCACATTACAGGAGTGGCTGATAATGGTCAGAGCTGCAGTAGACTCGCACAGTCGTCACAGGTGCTGTGTGAGTGGTGGTGGTTGTGCAGCAGCAGCAGTGTTAACGGACGTCGCTTTGTCCTGCCAGATGTGTTTGTGATCGTCCTGATGCTACAGCTAGGAGTTACCTTCTTCCTCCTCTTCATAAACGTGGAGTCCATTTACACGACCATGGAGGTACGGTGTCACGTGCGGCCACGAAACCAGCGCCACGCTGTGCAACACCGCACACAGCACCCACCACATCACAGAGCGCGCCACTGCATGACGCACCACACCACACCATCCACAGAACCACACCACATCAGATCACACAAGTACATCACATATAGTACTGCAAACTCAGAGCACACACAGAGCACCACGCACACAGTGCACAACCACGCACAGCCGCCCCACGTTCAGAGCACCACGCCAAAGACGAAGATCCCCCCCGTAGTTTAGCCTGACCAGACTGTTGAAGCAAGTGCTGTTAGCGAGCACCTATGAAGGCCGGCACGGCACACGAGGGAGTGGGTGCCAACACCACGCCCGACCGCCTTTGTCTCCCAAGTGGCGATGTTTACACACCGCACCAAGTACTCATATGAGGCTGAGTCGACCTAGGGGAGGCCCAGGACCGGTTCAGATAATCGACACCAGACACCACCACGTGGCACCATGCCACAAACACCACACCACCGCACATATAACCACACCAATGCATGCGAATGTATCTACAGGGAATCCTCGACTTACGAACATTCGACTTAGGAACTTCCAGAGATACGAACAAACCTGTCCGTATGTCCAGTTGCCTGTTCGGACCGAGAGTCGAAGTTCAACCGCCGAGCAATGGATGGCGGTGGTGGTAACTGCAGAACATGAAGAACCAGTGGCGCCTACATCTGCAGGAGATTATACAACTTTTAATGCCATTCCCCGTGTTTAACGTGCAAGTGGTACAACATGTTTGTAATCGACAGGAGTAAAGTGGGACAAATCGACTTACGAGCAGACCTGGAACCTTACTCGTTCATAAGTAGACGAGTCCCTGTATGTTGAACATCTTTCACACCGTGTGTAGCCAACCGTGATAATTGGGAGTTACGTGAATAATGTCACAAAGCAGTCCTTACAGAGCCATGGCTTGCTGACCCATGATCTAGACTGACATCAGATTGGAAACCAAGGGAGGGAGCGTGAGACAGAGCGATGAAATCGACTCGCGTGAAGGTGCCAGATGGATCTCAGCATCACAGGGACTGTGAGAGATGTCGACGGCTTTGGGGGACCTCGATCCAGCAATGGACGGATAATGTCTGACGACGACGATGGTGAATTCATTCGCGACATGCAACTCGCGGATCCTGTCACCGTGCGCTGTGTGTAGCTGGTGTGCACCTCCCTGCTCTGGCGATGGCACATCGTCCTCATCACCGCCGTTCACTTCATCCTCTCCGTCCTCGTCGAGGTGAGCCACTGTGGCGGGGGGCGGGAGGGGCGGCCGCTTCCTCACGAGATTGCCCAAACGGTCTGTGGCCTTACTCGGGAGTGGGTCCCTTCCACTTCGGAGTGGGTGCTTCAAAATTTGGTTGTTTTTGAAGTTTGTTCCAGTTATCCCAGCAATAGATTCATGCTGTAATTTTGTAGACTTTTTATTTCTTTCTTTCTCTAAACCATGTGTAAAATAAACAGATTGAATGTGGCGTGAGTCCCAACTGAGTTGCAGACGTTGTCTTGGGAGCAACACGTTTTATTAAACTCTTAGCACAACATACTCCAAGCTATTGACACAACAAACTCTCGGGTAGTGACCACCCAACTAACCACGCTACGGCGGAACTAGACACGGTTCCACTATCCCGGTCCTGCCCACAAGCTGGGTCCCGGACCGCGTGGCTGGAGGCTTCTTCAAGCTTGACGTGGATCTCCTGCCACTCCAACAGTAAAAGCCCCAAGCCCCTCACAGGGTCCCCCCCTTATATCGGGCCGGGCTGGGGCTGGCTCCGCCTCTCGCCCCGCCCACCTTCTCGATCTCTCTCGCCCTTGCCCGAAGGCTCTCGAGAGTTCTTCTTGGACCATGTGACCACCCATTGGCCCCCTCCACCGGTGGCCCCCCTCCAGTATCATCCGGTCACATGCCCCAAGGTCAGCCAGAGTATCATGCACCCAACGTAACCCGAGCTGGCTGACACTCCCTCGCTCTCTCAACGGGAGCCCGCACCGCACATTGTGCGTGGTGCCACCGCGCTTAACCAGCGCTCACCCAAGCCCCCACTAGGGCTGGTACTACACACCGTGTCCGGGGTGTACACACAACAGTAGACATCCCGCCGTGGCCTCGCAGGCCCGGCACCACACAGTGACATTCCCAGTCACTACACATGTAACAGGGCGGGCAGGGGGTGGTCATTGGGGACCGGGTTAAGACCATCGACTCCCTGGACTTGAGAAGAGCCCAGTCTCATCATGGACAGTTGTCCAGAATTGAACCAAGGATATCAACAGTGCCAGTTTTAGTCTTCTGCTACTGCTATAATTTCCACGTGATAAGCCACTTTGTTGAGCAATAATTGTGGCCAGGTCGCTTTTGTAAAAGAGCTACATAGCTCAGTGGGCCTTACCTGAATTAAATTAAAAAGGTTTAGTTTAATAGTTAGTTTCTTAGCACCCTGCTGGCCTGTGATTTGTAACTTTTATCATTGCCTGTGTAGTATCGATAGTTAAATGTGTAATGTTGTGTGGTGTTATCTTGGTGTGGTCTGGGACTGTGTTGTTGTATTTGCCACCATGCCCAAGCTTGACAAATCAGATGTACAATGATTTAATTATTCACATTTAGTGATTTGCATATCATTTTCTCTATTTTGGCACTCATTTCGTTTTTTTTTTATTGTTTGCTGTTGTAACACGCTGACCCACCCATAGTGGGACATTTGTGAAGAAGAGCTTCATAGCTCATCGGATTCCTCCTCCAGTCTAAATAAAGATTCTGTGTTCCTTGGTTTTTTTTCGGTAAAGTCACGTAGGTTAAAAAAGAAAACAAATACATTTAATCACTGATTTAATCACTGATTTAATGGATTAGTTTTCTTTCTTAACCTACGTGACTTTACCGAAAAAAAACAAAGAGTATGGATCCTTGCAGTCACGAAAGCTTCAAATCTAGAATTCTGTGTTCTGATTGTGAGCCCACCTGGCCTCCTTGCCCTCCCGTCTCGCAGGATGCACTTATTGAGAACCGCTCGATGTGGCGGAGCCTGCGCCGTTGCCTGCGCGTCAAGTCCAAGGCGCGCTACAACACGCTGGCGGAGCAGCTCGCTCAAGACCCCTCGTGGCCGCCGCTGGACCTCGGCCTCTCGGCGTCCGCGCCGAACAACGGCCACCAGCCGCCGAGGCCCAAAGGGGCTGCCACCCTCGGCTACCGCCAAGGTGCAGACGGCCCCAACTCCCGAGAGGCCGGTGACTGCACCTTCCCCTCCCGCCGGCATTTGAGGGTTTCCGGGACGGGACGTCAAACCTCCTCGCGGGGGCCGAGTGCCGCCGAGCGTCTCCAGGCCGAAGCGGAGGGCGCTCCAAATGGCCACGACAACGAGGCCTACGCTCCCACGCTGGAGCTGGACGCTGTGGCGTTTGAAGACGAGGTGGCGGGCGACGAGAGAGGTGAGGGGCGGCACGCGGGTGGGGAGCAAGCGAACTCGGGGAGTTGCGTCAACCCGGGTTTTGAGTCCGACGACAGCTCGGGACCTGAGTCGGGCCAAGCTGCCAGTTGATGCCTGACCCAGTCCTCTACAAGGACACGATTTAAGGTGTGTGTGTGTCTGTGTAAGAGTTGTTTTATATGTAGTGCTTTGTTTTTTAACCCGATTTTACTACATTTCTGCAGATCAGTGTGAAAAGTCACACGATGCACTCTAAATGCACATGTACGCCTGTCGACTACTGCATATGGTGAATAGGTTAGGTTGTAGTGCTTCTACAATTTACAATGCACGGCACAATTCTAAATATATGTGAAACTGTCTAAGTGCAACAAAGTTGTAACAACGTGTGTGTGTGTGCGGGCTTGCAAGGCATACAGAGTTGTCTTTCGCACGTTGCCGCGTCACCGAGCTGCCTCTTCATTGTGCAATACGGCAGCAAAGAGAAATGCGCATCGTGAAGTTTCGCCTTACATTTTATAATTTTAAACGGGCTTTACTGCGTGTGTGACTTGGTCACCAGTTGCTGCTTAAGTCTCCCAACGTCCACAAAGGCCGGGTGGATCGGGTGGATCGGGTGGAAGGTGGTGGGCGACTTGAGCAACAGCTGTTTAACAGTTACCCGTGTATTCGCACCCCAAATGACGTTAGAAGCATGTATTTTAATCACGGCTGTGGAAAAATCCTGACATCTACGTAGCTTGACCTGTTTTTGAACCTACTTTATTTGCTACTTTACTGATCGCAATATGATTACCGCCCATTAAGCAGCAATGTTCTCTTTTGGATACAATTATTTTGAACATGTCATAACATATCCGGCCTCGTGGCTCGGTGGTAGTGCGAGCGGCTCACAATCGGGGGGTGGGGTTGACTGCCCATCATCTCCCTGGGGTCGATAAAACGAGCACCACTTTGTGGGGAGGTCGACGACGGTCGTTGCAGGACGTTGTGTGCAAGCGTCGTTGCAGGACGTTGTGTGTGCCGGCGTCGTGGTCAAAACTTGGCAAATTTGAACCGTGACACCGGTGCCTGATGACCTACTCTTCTTGGGAAGACGTCGCAGGATCTCTCACGTCCACACTGTGAAGCAGTGGATATGGATTTGTATGGTGAAATAATCCACCAGTACTAACCAGGGTGGCCTGCTGGAATCGGTGGACCACTCCCAATGGGGGGACTGGCGGTCCAGTTGAAGGCCCGTTTGTTCGCGTAATGTTGTTCCATTTATTACGTGTAATTATTCAACGTCTTAATTATAACGAATCCAAAATTCGTTTAATACAGAGATGGCATTAACTTTTTGTTTACGCTCCACGTGCATGGAAATGGAATGCTGTGGAGAATGGGGTCATCTTTTTTACCCGCCATAGGAATGTGGAATTACCACCACTGACTTGATGCCACCAACAGATATGGGCAACCACCCTACTACGATCGTTTGGGCAGAGTCGCTATGATTTTGCATGGACACAAATTTTTAAAAAGGGCAGGTGAGTGAAATCTGAAATCATTTTGCTGTCAATTACTGGAGGAAAACTCCACGTGTTTCCCCAGCATTAGACTTCCTCTTGAGACCCTTCTCTGAGTGCTCAGAGGACAGTGAAACGCATAGATAATCGGGGAATGTGTATTTTTAAAACATATAGTCTATGGACTCAACACACAGCCGTCCTTTGTAATGTTTGCAGTGATCATTTGACTTTTGCTCAAGTGCACATGCTGCCGGAACAAAATCCAAACTATTTTACCAAATGATGATGACGATGTATTACAAAGTTAAATGGTGTCTTTAATCTGCTTGTGTTCCATGCACAGGCAAACTGACATAAATAATGCATGACATTCTTAGGACCATGATTATTTTTATACCAAATTAACCGTATGAAATGAAATTCAATTCCGTTTGTGAAATGAAATTCAAATCTCATGAATGTGTACATATGAAATAACTTGAATTGTGGGAATTTTAAGCACAGCCGTCTTTTATTCTCCTGGGTGGTGCAGATGCCTTGTGACCCCCATTTAATTCTCTAAAACTTTATATATATTTTTAAGTAAGGTTTATTTAAAGAAGAAATTAATATGCAAAAGGATTAAAAAATTTAGGGGTCAATTAATTGGGGGTCACAAGACGTCTGGAAGAACCCCTGTACAGCATGTTTGTCCTCGTGTCAGCGGCAGTATGCGTCTGTACGTTGAGCCTGGCTCTGGGGTATTTAAATTGAATTTCGTGAACACAAGTTTTATATTTAAAACCAACATTTTAACGGTTGTTGTTGCTTTCGTTGAATGATTTTTTTTAGCTCGACTTCACATCTGAAATGTATGGAAATATTACATTCGTTAAAAAGGTGTGCCATTTTTTTGGATCGTAATGAAATAAAGTTTTAGTTTATGAAATAAGTGTACGTTGTGTTTTAAATGTTTGTTTGTATTTTCCCATACTTCATAATGGATGTTCTCAGTGTTTGTCACACGAGGAGAGTGAAAGGTAAAACATTGTAGTGCTATTACATTGTAGCCCTTTTTTTACTTCATATTAAATTAAGATTATAGTGGAGTTGGTGATGCTGCTGCTTAATTGGCAGTGGCGCACGAGCACACCAAAAAACAAACCACTTGTCAATAGCACTGCCTTCACTGAACAAAAAATGTACGATATGGGTGACGTTTCAGCCAATGCCCCTTCTTCATAGCACATAAATAGGCCAAATTCGCACCTCCGATTAGCATAGTTGGCTACGTACGGTGTGAAAGAAGTTAAACATGCATACAAACGTCACGTTACATTTATCTTAAGTCCAGTGTTATTGACAAAATGTTGTGTATGTATAAACATGTATACATCCTACTTTTGCTAAATGTTTAGTGTAGACAGCACGCTCGTTTGTAATACCCAGTTGGTCACATCGACTGTATAACTTAAACATCAGCTCAAATTCAAAGCGCGTGTTTATTCGGAATTGAAGAGACGGCAGGCGTGTTGAAAAACGTGATGGGATTTAATCGTGGCACACAATGCACGCTTACAAAACGTGTTATTCACACGGGTGTACAAGTCGCGCGAGCAACCGGTGAACGTGACATTGCGATTGGTTTAGCTCGTTTTTCTTATTGCTGTTTTACAATTTATGGAGACTAAAAAATTACAACGGAAAAAAATTGACGACAAATTATATTATTTGAAACTGATATATTGGCTGGAGTAGGAGCTTAAAAGTAACACATGCCCGATTGTACGCTCGTTGTTTTCTCAAATAAAACTAAAGACATTTATTTACAAAGACAAATGTGAACGATAATAGAACCCAAAATGTACCAAATTGATTAATATTATGGTCGACTATACAAAGGCTTTAAAGCCCTCTTAAAAGTAATTGCAAGGATTGCTTTAATTTAGTTTCGATACGCCTAACACCAGAATGGATTTCAAAGATACACTCCTGTTAGCAATGGGCAACTTGTATGCCCAACATCAGCTCAATCTAGAAAACAGTGCTGAATCTCAGCGCAAGAATGAGACTATTAAAATAAAATACCCAAACGGTTTTTTCATTCGTGTCTGCTTGGTTTTAGAAGCTAAAGGTGACCATGTGCGATTTCCACTGCATGGGGACCGACTGAAAATCATCTGCTTGAACTCTCAGAAAATGTAACAAGATGCATCATGCCCTGAAACCACACAGCCATAATAATATAAAGTACCATTGTGTGTGTGATGTCTGACCTCCGGTATCAACTTTAAAATCATAAAAAAAAACTATTTAAATGTTGTACAACTGCCACGTTGCTGCACATGCCAACAGACGTTCCACATGTGCAGCACAAATTTCGATTGAAGCGCGCTTTACTACCTGGAATCGATTTGTTCCAATTGCTGCGGTGGAATGGATTAAACAGCTTTGGCACAATGAAATCTAAAGGCTTCTTTCTGTGGCCTCCCCAATTGTTACAGAAACACACACACACCAAGAGTACTTTACTCGCAATTCCAAAACTTCGAATTAAAATCTTGGCGGCTCTGGGTTAAAGTCAGCCCAATGATCCTGAGGTCAAGAAAATAAGTACCACTGTGGAGACAAAACCCTCGACGTAGAAATATGAAAATTTCCACCACTTGCTCTGTTGCTAACAGAGATGAGCACCGTCGATTGCTGGCTTGAGCCGGTCGCTCAATTCAGGGCGAGCTCTTGCAAATGAGGCTATCCTGGAGCTCACCGGAGTTGTCACCTGGTGAAATAAATCAAACTTGAAACAAGCGCAGTGAGACCTTTTGAATTGACAAAAAAAAACGCAGGCAAGGCTTGCAATGGAACACGTCGCATTTACGAGTGCTTCTCAACAGGAATTTTCAGTCGCCTCTGCATGGCAAAAAAAAAACCATGGGACCCCAAACTTTTCGCAGAAATTGTATAATTTTCACAAGTGTTTCGTGCAAATGTTGCATTAATTGCCGAACGCATCGGTATTTATTTGCATAATCTGATCCTAGATGGTACTTGTGAATTTACAAAGTCAAAATGTTGTAGCTTATATTATCTCAAACAAAACATCGGTACAATAGCTCCGTTAAGGAGCTAAACGCTTTTACAAGGTGCATTTTGCTTAACAAATGAGCCAACTTTAGCTGTAAGCAGCTCATTTACTTGTGAACTGCTCCAACCTTTTGGAGGCTGTATACTACAAGGTTACTTTCATGGCTAATTTCACCTTTAATTTTACACACGGTGGTCTGTGTGTGACGATTTGCGAACATACGCAAGGCAGCGAATGGAATGAATGTTTACGTGCATGTGTATCCGTACATGTGCAGCATCAGGATGCGCTCCCGTGCGATGCCAACGTGGGCGATGGATCCCATGGGGCAACAGCGGCGGTGGCGACAACAAATATACTACCACGTCCGTGTTCTTTGGCAACACTAAGAGCTCGTGTGAGCGTGTCGGAGCTTGTTAAAATTGTGTTCGTATACTCTTAAATAGCGGGAAAATTACATCAATTCCAACAAACTAATATACAATTACTTAACCATCTGTCAATACACACTGCATAACTAGGCTGATTACACTGATATATGTATATATATCCTGCTTTGCCACTTTATTCAATTGTACAGGTTTTAAAAATAAATTCATCCACACACATTTAAAAACATCAGTTATTGGTGTAACCAATTTTTTTTGTCAAAATTTGACTTACTTTGCCTTTAGTTAAAAGCGCTTATGTACAGAGTACACAGAACACACAACAGCTGCGCAGAAGGATTACGCTAAATAGACGATTAGGCTTGAACTACAAAGCAAGACCAAGAAGGTAAAAAAAGTGGATAAACGCGGTGCAGAGCTAAACGAACGTGCCATGAACAAGGAGCCGCCACACAGGTGTCGAGGACACGTGCGGGAAGCTCGGTTGTGTCCTGTCCAATGTAACACGCGAGTCTTGGGACATAAAAAATAAACCAACACCTGGAATGAATGTGTGTGGCTGTGCGTGCGCGAGTCTCCAGCCATCAAACGGAAGCTCTTCTGGCCCCTGTTGTGGGTGCCCGAGTCACGCCAATGCCGGACTTGGCTTCGCTCAATGTTTAGCCAAAAGCAGGACGACAACGAATGCACCACCACGTAGTTCTTGCCCCCCCCCCCCCCGCAAACCGCACCGGTTTGGGCACTCAATCTCGCTGCTGAATGCGGGGCTCTCCATACCGTGCGGGTCACGAGGGCTATTTTACCACGATTCCCGTACAGGACACGGTATCCAATGTGGTACAAACCACAGACTTAACTCCTTACAACAGACAAGATGGTGGTAGTGCCTTATGTTTGGAAACTTAACAGCAATGTGACGATTAGACAACTTGACATTCACGATGATACAGATATATTGCCTATAACACTCATGACCTATAGCAGCTATAGTAAAATGTATACATTTCAAACATTTAAAAAGTCACGGTATATCTTATTTCAGTTTTAAGTTTTGATCATAAACATTTGAATGCAGTGTACTTTAGAAATTTTATAGGACCTGGGGTACATTTGTGGTGGAAAATTGGCAGTTTCTCTCTATTTGGTGAGAAGGTGGGGCAAGATAGCCACTATTTTTTGCTGGTCTTGCCATTTTGTCCATCATAAATAGGTGTAAACTGCCTTTATTTGGCCACCGACACATCAATAAGGCCCCTAATGTCAACTTAAGCATGTAACGAGATAACATGTAACGGAGGACATTGGTGAATGATGAAAGGAGGAGCGCTGACGGGTGACGAGATGATTTGATTAACCCGCTCTGAACTGCTGAGTTTTGTTCATTAGGCAAGTCAATATACAGCTACCGCCACGTGCAATGCATGGACGCCACGGTGAGCACAGAGTTTAACTCTCGAGGCATGTAACAACTCAATCCCTGTCAGATGTTGCAGGTCATCGCAATACTCAAGAACAATGGAATTATTTTCGTTGCATTTTTTCTCGTCCGTAATAAAATTTGTTTCATCCATCTCGTGCGTTGTCTTATTCCAAACGTAACATGAGCATATACATTTCATGATTTGGAAAAATATACATATATATTCTGACCGGCACGATCCGAGGAATGTTTCACAATGGGGGTGGAGCAGTGTTGCAATGGTTCATGAACTGCGCTATTAATCCCGGTTACCAGAGTTTGATTCCTGGCCACGAGTGACATCGTTCTGGGCAAACCATTCACCAACCCACACTGATCAGCTGAGTCAGGTGTCACGACAGACACAGCATGGGCAGGCCTTCACCCAGCAGTGGATTGACAAAAGGCTGTGATTATCATTGTGAGAGAATCAGTGTTAACTGTTACATGCTTACCAAACCACACGCGGTGAACCCGACTGACCCTTGCGTGCTCAATCTTGCATTGCCAGCATGGTTGGTCGGGACTGCCATACAGGATCGGCTATGAAAACATGCTTACACGTTCTCCAACCAGTCTGCAAACCTCTTCAGTTGTACACCTAAGTAAAGTGGCTATACATATGAATGACCAAGGTATAATGGGAAGAGAGGGTAGTTAAGGGTTTGAGACTGTGAAACCCACAAGCCAAACCCTTTCGCTTAGAATTACCAACACGCAGCATGAAAACACGTGGCGTAGTTGAGCGAATAAACTATTTGGTCAGACAAATTGGCCTGCGTACAATCCCTTTGTGATGCTAAAATGACTGCATTATGTTACTGCGACACATGACAATTGAACCAGCAATTAATATTAAATATAACATCATTATTATTATTTCACGATTGAAGAAATACATGACCAAAATTAGTGTTTTTTTTCCTTAATAAAATCTGGTAATTATTCCTGCTGAGACTAAGGTCGATTGTGACTTAAGACGTGAAAAACAGTCGAGAGGGAAAGCTACAGGCATCAGAAGAGACACCACGGCTGCTCTAAGGGCAGTGCAGAAGGCCATGCTTTCGACATACAGCGGACAAAGTACGTGTGACTCAGTCTAACTGGTGCATGTGGGACAGTCACCCACACACACAACGTTCCCACAAAGAAAGCCACATCCTCTTAACTACATTATCACTGTGGGTTCAAAGGAACAATTACCCACCAACACTTGACTGCCCGTGTGCCCTCATGGCCCACAATGCCGTTTCTGGAAATGGGAGTTTCTTTTGTAAAGCAAATAACCACCCACGAATGAACGACAGGGAGTGGGGGGGTATATTTAAAACAAATTAAAGAAGGTACGGATACAATTAACATTTTCGTGCACTTCCTACACAAGCCCCAAGTCTCAGGGGCATGTTATCACATTCTTCGGCCAGTAAAATTAGGCCAGGTAGCCCTTACAAAACTAAATCATTTTGTAGGTGAAAGGGTTGATTTAAAAACAAAAAGGCATATTCACCTCACTATGAGGTGCAGGTCACGTACGTTTGGCTGCATGAAACAAATGTATACTAACAAAAAATATAAAAACACCAAACCCCACTACATAACTTTGAAATGCTTCAGTAAAAAAAAAATCAGGATACTTCAGTTTTGGAGCACAGGTAAACATGTAAAATGAAGGTAAATTTTTTTAACTGTTACATATAAGAGATTCCTTTATCATCTAAAAATAAACACTCATCTGCAGGACATGTATAATTTTAATGAATTATAGAGCCCCATTATTGTTATTGCTATGGTAAAGTTGGCCAAAGGCTGGTTGGGTTTTCAAGGCAAGCACAAAAACATCCGACAAGCTTTTGCAGAAAAAGCTCGCATGTCCTCGGAGAAACCAAATAGTCCGAAGCGCACAATTATGTACAAGAGGGACATTCTGGAAACATAACCGGATTAGATTTCCTATGCTTACCAGCAGCAAATGTGGTTTTACCGGTCTCTCAATAACGCGTCGAGCCTTTCACTCAGAATGAGTCCCGAGTAAGTAATATAGTCACAACTAGGTTCAGGATTGCATTCTGCCTTGTTTTCCCACAACTAATGCCAAGTTCTGGGCCATTAAATCCACACCAGTCCTTTTTTAAGCACTGGGCAATAAGCATTTTTGACACAGAGTATGTGTGTAGGAAATCTCTCTCTGGCGGTCGGGTAATACATTTTTGTACCGTTTTTCGGGAAAAGTGATGTGTGCATCCAGCACGGTGGCCACAGGGTTGGTGGCTCACACACATGGACGGAAAAGTGCCAATCTGCTGGGCCGTCACGATGCCAGTGAATTGCGGTACAGCAAATCGGTAGCCTGACCCATCTGTGTTGAGAATCATTCCCTCTTCACACGGTAGATTTCCTATGGGTACTCCAATGTATTACCACATGCAAAAACCATCATTAAAAAGCAACTGGTCAAACATATCGATGCAAAAGAGCCGATTCAACAAGCCTTGACACTCCGCCAAGGCTTTTATGGATAAAAAAAGACGCCATCCATATATCTTTTTGTAATTACTCACCAAAAGTAATTTCGTCTACACTCGGCTAAAAACATCAATTGTAACAAATGTCCTACTGCCAAGTTACAAGGAGTGACCTGTCCGGTTGAGCTGCCGACGAGGATGTTTTATCCGACCGGCCTGACGCTGCACATCGTCGCCACTCTACATCTCGGCGCCACGTCTCCCTCCGCCGGGGTGCCGTGCCGCCCTGTCGTCCTCGTCCTCGTACACCTCCTCCTCCACCTCCTCCTCCTCATCGCCGCCGCCGCCGCCGCCGCCGCCGCCATCGGCACCGCGCCTCGCGTGCCGAGCAGCATTGGCGGCGCCGGCGGCAGCTGCGGGCCCCACGTGGCCCTGCTTGTCGCCATCTTCGTCCTCCTCCTCCTAAGGACAAAGAGGAAACGGATTCCCACTGCTGTGAGGTTTTCCCCGTGAGACGATGCGCTCTCTTTGTACGAGGTTGACGAGCAGCCACGCCAAGGACACGTCGATACACCCGTGACAGACGAAAAAAGCTGGCAGTAAGTGCATCAAATCGTGCGCAGAAGAATCAATTTGGATCATACGAGTTTGTATGTAATTTTCAATCATACGTTTTAGAGTATTTGGCTGCTATAAATTTGCACGTGAAAAGCCACTTCATTAGGCTATAATTTGTGGCCAGGTCACTTCAGAAAAATAGCTTTAGAGCTCAGTGGACCTCACCTGGTAAATTGATTCAATGCAGGAGCTACATTCACCACTGGAAACACAACTGACCAATTTTGCGTATCGAATGTTAACAATCAAGTCGTAAAGGGGCACGAATGTCTTCGTGTCCGTTTAAAACGGACATAAAACTATTGTGCCAGGAACGATCGGTCAGCAGTGCAGTGGTTTCAAAAGCACAAGGTTTCAAGATGAGAGCTGGGCAAGACTCAATCCAATCCAATGAGCAGCATCTGGTGAGTCGATCAAGGATGTCAAAAAGTTGCCTTGATAATGGGAGCTCCACTTAAATCATAAATAATTTAGTCTGGCACGGTGGCTCACACCCAGTTTGCGCCACTTGCACAACACTCTTTAAAAAACAAAGTCCCAACGATCGCAACATAGGACCGTCCCAAAAGGGTCTTGGCGACTCCACGTGAGGAATTCCCAGATAAACAAATCAAACATCACTAGTGATGTCATCGCATCCCCCACCCCCCGCGTCACTCACGTTGCCGTGGTCGTAGTGCTCCTCAACCTCCACGGCGTCGTCCGGGCCTACGTCCCTGCCCGTGTCGTCCCCGGGGCCCTCGACCCGGCGGCGGCCGCCGTCCTGAAGGGTGAGCACAGGGAGGGCGGCCACACGTCAGTGCCCACATCACGGACGCCCCTCCGCGTGGCCCCAGTGGCACAGGAGCGGGGGAGAGGGGGCGTCTATTCGAGGGGTGTGTATCGATCATCGAATGGAGCACTTAAAGTGCGCTGTCACCCTGGCCGGCTTGAAAACGAGGAAACATTTCTGTCTCGGATGGAGAGAGATCTTAAAGCGTTAGGCATATGATCCCCTTCAAGTTGTCGACCAATTAGCCTCCACTTTAAGCGGCAGACAAAGGCTAGCAGCAAGTGGTACAGAGTGCATCGATAGCATAGGGCTTGCCTGCTCCTCCTGGTATTCCTGCTCATTCTCCTCCTGTTGGTCAGGCTTTCCAGCCACCTGCAAGATAAAGACAAGATCCCCTGTGTAGTCCTCAACAGACTGTTGGGGCAAGTGCTGTTTGTGAACACCTATCAATCGGTGGTGTGGCCAGTACCATGCCCAGCTACTTTTGCCCCCCTAGTGTAGGTGTTTTACACACCACACCAAGTACTACTTATTTCAAACCGAGTCGATCCCAGGAAGGCCCAGGTCAAGTTCTGATATAATTTGCCACTCATCTTAGCCATGGTCAGGAATCAAACTCAGGTCTCCAGGTTCGTAACGCAGTGCACTGCACATTGTGCCACCGCTCCTCACAAAGACGCATATACACAGACAGTGGAGCAGACTCATTCACACTGATTTAAATAAAAAACCAGGTGGTTCAGCGAGAGCACCAACATGGCACTGCTGAGACCTTGGGTTGGGATCCAGGCAGTGCTGCCTGTAATTAAACTATATTGTCAAGTATATGGAATTGATGGTCTGAGCTTGGTTACCAATGACTGTACAAAAACAACCCAAGATGTGAAATGTGCTTCTAATTTTCAGAGTTGGTCCTGATAATTAAACAAAAATATTGGTTTCATTGTCATGCAATGCAACATTACCCTCCGTAGCAAATTATTTGGTGATGCTGTGTTGGCAGTATATGAGCACATTTAACACAAACTCAACACATTCTCTATTTACGTGTTACATGCCATTACTTGAAACATTGCCTTTGTTTATATTTTAAAGCCAGTGTCATTGACGAATGTGCTGTGTTCTCTGAAACGGGGCAAGCGGGATAGTGTTGCTCTGTACTATGAGGATCAGAGGTCATTTTCAAGGGATCTCAGAATTAGTTCTGCGATATTCGCCTCCGCAGGCCGTCCGCTAGCACAGAGCTGCACCGTCTCTCTCTCGAAGGTTCTGGATTCACCTCATATCTGTACGTATGTTGAACTTATTTGCCACCGTATGTAGCCAACCGTGACAATCGGAGGTGCGGGGGTCAAGACAACACACTAAACAACAAGGAGCAGTTCTAATGAAATTAGTTTTCAATCTAGATTTAAAAGTACATATCTCCAGTCATGACGTAACAGCGATAGCACAATGGCAATACATAGAGGAATAAATCCACCAGAAAACACGAAATACAGATGCGGGCCTTACGACGAGCTGGTCGTCCTCATCCGGCTGAATTCCGTCCGCGTCGCCCGCGCCCGCCGCCGCCTCGGGACCCAGGATGACGGCGCCGGCGCCGTGCCGCCCCACGTCGGAGCGCACCCTCTGCTGCAGAGCGCGCTCCGCATCCTCGAACTCGTCACGCCCGTTCCTGCCGCCGCCGCCGGGCGCCACCCCCGCGTGCCGCCCCTCCCCGCCGCCGTTAGCGCCGTCCACGAACCGCTCGGCGGCGTCGTGCGTGTCCACTGCCGCCCCCCCCCTCGCGCCCATCGCCGCCGCCCCGACGGCGACGCGCTGAGCCCTCTCCTGCAGAGCCTGCTCCGCCTCAAACTCGTCCTCGCCCTGGTTGTTGGGGTCGTTAGCCGGGTTCTGATCCTCTTCGTCTTCCTGCTCCTCTTCTTCCTCTTCCTGTTGCGGCTGCTGCTGCTGATGCGGCTGCTGCTGATGCGGCTGCTGCTGATGCTGCTGCTGATGCTGCTGCTGCTGATGCGGCTGCTCGACATGTTCATCGTGGTGTTCATTTTGATTCTCCACCCGTGCTGCTGATGGAGCCGGCTGGGTATCAAGCGCCAATCAATCATATATGGATAGTGTTAATATAACATATTTAATGGAAAAACACACCAATAATGGGACTTCACTGTTATAAAATCCACGACACTGCACTGCAATCAAATGAACATAGGATGTGTGTACGTATGTTCAACTTCTTTCCCAACGTACGTAGCCAACTGTGCTCATCGGAGGTGCGGGGGGAAGGACACAAAACTCAACACAAAAAGCAGATCTAAGATCTGTAGCGTGCAGTAATCTCTGTACTATCACAGAACGTCCATGAAATATGGCCCTTCCTGCTGAATTAAAATCTAAATCTAAACCATCGATGTGGAACTTTGAGTGCTATCCCCTCGTATGCATGAATTTTCTCCAGGGACTCCCTGTTTCCTCATACATGCCAACCACGCATCAATGGAATCATCTAAACATCCCAAAATCAGCAACCTCCTTATAAAAATAAATGTGAGACTCAGTGAGGCTTTCCTGGATAGTTCAAATGGCATTATCATTGTTTTGGTTGTGTAATCAATTAATAGCCTTGGAATTCCCGCAAAGCCAGGATCGCGACTGCATAGGATCATCTACATCAGAACAAATTGCTTAATTCAGGCAGTACCTCACTATTAACCAATATCGGGATATTGTATTTCAGCGATACCCACAATACCAATAGGTGTTGAGTCACCACACCACAATAAGTGTCCAGATCTAGTATCAGGGTCACAAGCATGGCCAGCACCACACACTGCAGCAGTGTATAACCACAGGCTTAAAACTAGAAACACACACAATGCATGGACAAGGGGCGGAAGACGCGGCAACGTACAATCAAGGGCTGGTGCTGCTGAAGCTCGGGTTTGAGAGGTGCTAAGTTGGCCCGGGCTGCTTCCTGCTCCTCCGCCACGGAGTCTGCACACAAGGAAACACAGGGAGCTTTGTCATGCAGATTATGTTCCCTCCACCCAACAGGGGCAGAGCACAGACACGGGCCAAGAGGAAGCAATGGTCACACGCACTCTTCAACCGTGAGCACTTGGTACATTCTGGAACAGTAAAGCACAAAGCAGCAATCAGGCCTTTAAAATGACAATACTTAAATATAGTATAATTTGGATAAAAAAAATATATTTTTCCCAACTATGTTATAGGCGTGCAAGTCATGAGATAAATAATTAATTCTGAAACTCGCACAGCAGCGCACCGCCCCCCCCACCCATGTGTAATTAGCACCAGTGTATCAGTGGCATCCACGGGGTTTGAATGCCATTCCAATGCTCAACTGAGCAGCAAGACACTTTGATGAAATAGATGCAATTATCAGAATAGTTAAGTCCATCACCGAAAGGGTTTCAGCAGAGCTCTGACTGTACCGAATACAGTGGCAAAGCTAGTCAAGCATACTCAGTTCTACACCGAGCAACAATCGAGTTATTCGCAGAAATTCCCACAGGTTTTCAGTCCACCGTTGCCGTAGATACAAGGGAAGTGTTACCCACAGACACCTCGCAGTGACCTGTGCTCTGACCTTGAGGCTTGTGTTCATCTGCGGCTTCAGGGTTCTTCTCAGACTCATTTTTCTCTGGTTCCTCCTCTTCCGCTCCGTCCTTCCCATGCACCCCCTGGTCAAACATTGCCTGCTGCCTACAAAAATAAACGATACACACATGCCCCAGTTAGCCTTACAAACCCCATATAGGTACGTGCGGTGCAGGTAGTAACCACGCCCAGCTGCCTCTGTTTCCACAGCGCTGGTGTTTTCTTGAGACCAGGTACTCACTAAAGGCTTAGTTGACTTAAGGAAGACCCAGGATGGACGGTTTGAACTGCCATCATTTGTCATCGATGTGCATGGACAGGAATGAAACCCACGGTGGGGATCATAGCAGAGTGGGCTCACAACAAGCACAGCCACACGTACACTCTCACTTCACGTGGCTCATACCACGCACACACAGCTACGCGCACACTCACCACTTTAAATGGCTCGTACTACGACAACACAACTACGCGCACACTCACCACTTCATGTGGCCTTTATCACACACGCACAGCCACACATACACTCTTCCTTCACGTAGAAGGGTGGTTTAGGTTTAACTTGTACTCTTTGTTCTAGATCATTAAAAAACATGGGGGCGGGCGGACGAGTGAGCGAGCAAGCCAGTGAAAGTGACTGAGTGAGTGGATGAGCGAGTGAGCATTGAGTGGGTGAGTGAGAGTGGGTGAGTAAGCAAGTGAGTGAGTGAGTTTGTGAGTGACCAAGTGAACGAGAAAGCACACCAATAAGTAAGTGTGGGTGGGTGAGTGAAAGCGAGCGAGCGAGCGCAGAGTGGGTGAGCGACCTGATTCGGGCCTGCCTCAGGCTCTCGTCGCGTTGCTGCACCGCCTCCTGCTGGCGCAGCGCTGCCTGCCGCGCCTCCTGCTGCGCCAAGCGCTGCCGGTAGATCAGCTCTTGCTGCTCGGCGAGCCGGCGCGCCGCCTCCTCGCGTTCCTTCGCCATTCGCTGCTGCTCCAGCTGCGTCTCGTAGTGGCTCTTCACTTTGCTGATCGGCGTCTAAGAGGTCAGGGCCAAGAGGTCACCGTGGATGATGCTGCCATATCTCACCACAATGCATTGCGAGTTCAACCACCCATGAATCCCGGAGATCTGAATGGAGTTCAAAAGAACTCGCAAACACCTTGTTGTGAAAGACCCAACGCAGAAGACCCCTGGGTTTGATCTTCCACAAAGCTCATGGTCCACCACACATCGCATCCACTCACAAACCATGGCAGTAGATGCAGATACTTGATGCACAAGTGGAAAATTAGAAACTCTCCAGCAGTGCGCGACTGTGGTCATCCAGAACTGACCATACAACGTATAATGATGCAATGCCCAATCCACAAATACAAAGGAGACATCACAGCGATACACTCCGCTGCTCTTGACGCAGTTGTCTGGCTTGACCACCTGAATGTGAAATTGTAGTTGTTGCTCTGCATCTACATCGGCCGTACGAAAGAAGAAGACCACATTGTTTACTTCCTTCTTGCACTTGTTATACAGCCGACATAATATTTCTATAAAGTCTACACATGCAGGTTCTGCATGTGTACATTTACTGACTATGCTTGGTTATGCATGTAAGCAATCTAGATTTGAAGAGTATCCATGTAAGCCTCGCTGAATCTCATGACTCTTTTTCAGGAGGGTCCTGCTCAGTGTTTGCAGTAATGTGCAACGATGTGCAACGATCACCAAGCGCTTCATAATTGAGCGATTAAAGATTAAGTTTTAAAAAGTTGGCAAATTTGTACCTAGACGCTGGCACACAATATCCTACTGTTCTTCAAGTGACGTCACGTGACCTTTAACGTGCACTCTGAAGACGACCGAGCGTACTCGAACCGCAAGCCTCTGCGACGCATGGTGAATGGGCCACCGCTGGGTCGTGTCCGTGACTCAGAATTACATTTCACCAGAATGAGAAAAGAGACGGTTTGTGAAACAGTTCACGATTCCAATAGGGACAATTCATTAAATTGCGTAAGGGGGTAAATCATAACATCAGCTCTGGACAAATAACTCGGCCCTCCTGAACTCAGCGGGGCGATGAGAAAATAATTCTGGACAAAGTTGCTGAATCAGACGTTAATGTATATTACCTGTTGGCCAGGCAGCTGGTTCTCCTGAGGTTGGATTTGATTGTCCTGCTGCTGCTGCTGCATAAGGCGATCTCTCTCAATGCGCGCCTGTCGCTGTTTGTCTAACAACTCCTGCACATACACAAACACCAAGATAAATCACCCGTGTAGGTTACACAGACTGTTGGGGAAAAGTCCTCCTGGCGAACACCAATGAAGGCCGGCCGGCACAGCCCACAAGGGGCTGCTGTGGCCAGCACCACGCCCGACCACATTCGTGCCTATGTATACACACCACCCCAAGTACTTATTTAAGGCTGAATCGACTTGGGGGAGGCGCAGGACAGGTTCTGATATTTTTCAATAATGTTAGCAATGGCTGAGAATTGAACTCAGGTAACAAATATACAATATACAGTAAATGGTGAAGTGGGCTAACCACTGTACCACTGCTGCACACGCTTGCGTGTGCACACAAACACACGCGTGTGCACACACATAGGATATTCATGATTCCAGGATCGTTAGAAGGGGGAGCACGACAGGGGCTGGTCATGGCTACAATGGGCACGCTTATATTGATGTTCACCTAGAGCACTGGCCCCAAAATTTCACAAGGATACGTAAAAAAGCTTTGTCTTGTATCTATGTGTGTGTATGCTTACACACACAATGTGGGGAGCGGTAGTGTAGTGGTTAGCGCACTGCGCTACGAACCCGGCGACCCGAGTTCGAATTATCTGAACTGGTCCTGGGCCTCCCCTAGGTCGACTCAGCCTCAAATGAGTAGCTGGTGCAGTGTGTAAACATTGTTGAGGGAGACAAAGGTGGTCGGGCATGGTGCTGGCCATCCATCCCGTCGTGTACCGTGCCGACCTTCATAGGTGCTCCCGAACAGCACCTGCCCCAACAGTCTGTTAAGGCTATACAGGGGATCTTTGTCTGTGTGCACACAGACACTTGGGTAACTGTGCATTTACCTGTCGTTCTTTTCTCTCCACTTCAAGCATTTGTTTTGTTTTCTCATCCAAATGTGACTCATCCTGATGTGTACACACAAACAAATATGCGTGTGTCCATGTCCATATACACGAGCAATGCATAGCCTTTAAATCATTAACTTAAAACCTTTTCCATAAATGTCCTGCTTCACAATTAAGATATAAGTTGTTAATAGTAGGACCCTTTAAAAATTGCAACAACTTTCATAACATCAACTGCTATATATGTACAGCAGTGGATTGATAATTATATATATTAATAATACATATTAATTGCCCACAGGCTGACCCACTGGTAATGCATGCCCACCGCTAGGATAGTCAACCGGTCTAACAGTAAATAACAATAACTGCCATTCACCACTAAGTGGTGGAGACATCACCACGGCGCATGTGCCAGGAGTGGAGCACCCTGAGGCCACGTGAAGTGTCAAAGGCTGGCCGACAGGTCACGGGACAGACCCAAGTGTTACAGGTTGACTGACAGCTGACCGCCAGATGCACCGTCTGTCCTCTCCACTGCCACCTCGCTGCATTTTAGCTGCCATGCCCTCCGCTCTAGTGAGCGTTGCGCCTCCTCCCTCCGTTGTTATTGTTGGATGGCGATTGCCTCCAACTGCCCAGTAGCGACATTCGACAAACTTTCTCCACCACCATTATTGTTACCGTCACAGGAGATGCGAGTTTGGGGATTGTTTCCTTACGTCAGGTTGCCGTCGGTCCCTCTGCACCGCCTCTGCGGCCACCGCCTTGCGCCCCGAGTCGGCTGCCTGCACGCCCTGCGCCCCTTGCATGAGGCTCGGCATCTTATTCAGAGTCTCCTTCAGCTGCTGGTACTCGCGCACTTCTACCTGTGCTCAGGCACCACATGCACGCAAGGAACATGACGGGGATCCTCCCCACTCAGTATTACAGCGTATTAAGAGCACCTGTATGTATGTTGAAAACCTTTCGCATCCATAGGTAGCCAACCGTGCTAATAAGGCAAGCATGGCAAGCAACGTGTGGCAGATCACCATGCCTAGCTTCATCTGTCTCAACAGTGGCCGTATTTATGCACCATACCAGGAACTCAATAAAGTAATCGTAATTCACGGTATGCACAAGATAGGTCCAGATACTCTTTGCCATGGATGTACACCGCCAAGGAATTGAACCTCGGGTGCTGGGATGTGAGTGGCACGTGTGAACCAATGCACCACCACTTTTTGCAAAAAAATAAAAAAAATCCCCCATATAGCCTTAACAGACTGTTGGGGCAAGTGCTGTTCGTGAGCAACTATGAAAGCTGGTACAGCACACCAGGGGGTGGGTGGCTAACATGCCCGGCTGTGTTTGTCTCCCTAGTGGCGATGTTTACACACCACACCAGCTATTCATTTGAGGCTGAGTCGGCCTAGGTGATGCCCAGAACCAGTTCAGATAATTGTCACTGGTGTTGGCCGTGAGCAGCAATCAAACTCGGGTTGCTGGGTTTGTAGCTAACCGCTACCCCACCGCTCCCCACTTGTTGCACACACAAACACAGACACTTAAGTGTACAGCTCTTTTATCAGTCGACTGCTGGATGACGAGGTCCTCCCTACACAGTGTGGGTCGTGGTGGACATTTGACCAAACTTCACCATGTTGGTGAGTGTGGGATCATGAAGGCGCGCAGCGGAAGTACAACACAAAAACGCATTTTCCTGAAATGCCCTCTGCTGTCCACAACGTAGTCCTGCACACACAAGACAACTAAAAATACAACTGCACAATGTTTACCCGATTCAGGCCAACTATAAAAACTATAACCTATTTTTATTTCACTAGGTAAGGCCCAATGAGCTATACAGCTCTTTTTCAGAAGCGACCTGGCCACAAATGATCGCTTAACGAAGTGGCTTATCATGTGGAAAAGTATAGCAGCCAAATACTCTAAACGCATGTTTTTAAATGTGGATGGAAAAACCGGAGGACCCGGAGAAAAAACCATGCGACCACGGGGAGAACATTAAAACTTTAAATATAGAGGTGTCAGGGTTGGGATCGAACCCACGAACTCTCTGTATACCAGGCGAGGGAGTTAACAGCTCGCCACCGTGGTGCCCAACACCATCACAGTCCTGTTAGCGAGCACCTATTTTGGCTTGTCCACTAGCATGTGATGGGAGCAGTGGCCACATCACCAGCAGCAAATGACCCCACTTTGCTGATGTCGTATTTGAAATACAAAAATAAATAACAAGGTGCCCTTTCCACACGTGCGACGTTGCTCACCTGCGCTTTGGCCAGTTGCGACTGATGCTGCTGGAGGGTGTCCTTGAGCTGTTCATGCTGCTCCAGCAGATTGTTGTGATTTTGCTACGAGGGGAAAGAGAAACATGCATGCACACATGCACATACTTATTTTTTTTTAAGACAAAGATCCCCCTCGTTAACAGCCTATACAGGCTGTTTGGACAAGTGCTGTTAGCGAGCAGGGTGCACGACAAAGGGGTGGGTGGCCAGCACCACGCTCAGCCGCCTTCATACCCCCCATTGCTGATGATTACACACCTCACCTGGTACTCATTTAAGGTTGAGTTAACCTTGGGGAGGCCCAGGACCAGTTAAGATAATCAGGACTGTTAGCTGAGGCCAGACGACTGGGTTCTAACACAGTGTGCTAACCACTACATTACCACTTTCCATTTACAGACACAAAGACCCCCCATGTAGCCATTAATAAACTTTTGGGGGAAATTATGTTGGCGAGCACCTACGAAGGCCAGCATGGAGCACGAGAGGGTGGGTGGCCAACACCACGCCCGGCAACCCTCATCTCCCCAGGTCCCATGTTCACATACCACACCAGGTACTAATTGAAGGCCGAGTCAACCTAGGATATGCCCAGGAAGGGTTCAGATATTCCTCACCATTATTGGTCACGAGCAGGAATCAAAACCCTCAATGGGTTCGTAGCGCGGCACGCTATCCACTTCACTCGAATTCCCCGCACGATACGTTTACACGCGTACATACATACTCAGGCACATATTTGGGCTCTGTTGCAGGCAACATGACAGAGTGGAATGGGGCTTATCACCAGTGGGTGTGGCACACGTTAAAAGTGAGACAGTGCGCATAACATTCTTTTGAAGGTGTGCCTACAGAGGTCAGAGGTGTGGACATGCAGCGTTTCTTTAACTGGGGGGTTAACCTCAGAGGTAAATGCAGAAAACTGTCAATCTAATGGCTCCACAGTGCCAGATCATTAACACACATTCTAAAATCACAACAAATTACATTTATTATCAGGCCCCAATATTGTACAATGCAGGCTTCCACTCTCATCCACTCTACCCCTCTGGCTTCTCTGTATGTGCAATGAAGAATGGCCAGTGACTGAAACATCGCCTATTATATATTTTAATTTTAAGGCCACAGTGTTACTGATGAATGCGTCCAGTTTTTATATTAAAATAGCATCTAAACACAACCGCATCTCAAGGGATTTGTTTATTTTAATTTGTAAATCTGGATCCGTGCATGCAATATAGAAAGTGTAAAGGATAAAAGTGTTGCGGCGCAACTTACGACACAAGAGGCAGGTCTTGGTCGGGGCTCACGCCGCGTTTATAAAGGGCTTACGCTTAACAGGGGTGACAGGCTTACGCCTAACAAGAACCCCCTCGCCTAGAACTCCCCAGAGGACAGGGAACTGGGAATCCTACAACCCCAGCTAACTCGGCTCTCCTCCCTGCACCGGCCTGGGGCTCAACCGACTTCGGCCGGTCGGGTGGAGTGGCTTCCCTTAGCCTCGTGTGAGGATCACCTACCCCGGGTCCCAACTCGTACCCTCGACGACCCCCGGTTACGTCCCGGGTCTCCCTTTAAATACCCCCCGGGGGACATGACGTCACCGTCCCCCAAGGTCCGCCTGACGTCACGTTCTGCGACGCCACTCTCTCCGAGGGCGAGTGTGACGTGACGCCACCCACTAGTCCTCTTCAAAAGGACGAACAATTCGCAATGGGAATTTCACTATCACGAGACGTTGTGTTTATATTCGTTGTGTTTAATTAGTTGTCCTTCTCCGATTAGCACCGTTGTCTAAGGTGCGAAAGAAGTTCAACATGCAGTACATTAGCTTACAGCATGCAATCAACTGCTCGATCACACCAGTGTACCTTACACGCTTTTATTTAACTCACTCTGGCTGTTGTTGTTGTTGTCGTATCCTCAAATCTTGTAACTCAATTTTAACCCACTTCCCAATGTGGTATCGACTGCAAACTTGGTATACTTATGTCTTACTGATGACAATACTATATGCTATCATAAAAATATATATATTTTTTTTTAAGCAATCTTTTTACACACTTTCTATTAACTCACTGTCTGTTGTTGTTGTCGTATCCTCAAATCTTGTAACTCAATCTTAACCCACTTCCCAATGTGGTATAGACTGCAAACTTGGTATATTTATGTCATACTGATGACAATACTATATTCTATCAAAAAAATACAAATAATATGTTATGTTTCGGCTTGGGTCTAATTGTCCACGCTCAACTGACGTTGGCTGTAAATCACCACGGTCCCTTACGTTATGGCAAGCTTCGGGGCCACTTCCTGGAGTCGTGGAGTTTTGCCATTACTAATACGGTACATTTCATTAAAGCGTGTTTAAATTTTTTTTTTTAAATATTACTTATTTGTATTTGCTTACCAACCCTTACTGTAGTGCATGCAGTGTCTGACCAGAGTCAGTGGCAAGATGTTAACTACTTCACCTGGTAAACAGGAGATCGTAGGTTCGATACCCCCACCCTGACACCTGTATATTTGGAGTTTGCATGCTCTCTCCCCGTGGTCACATGGATTTTTCTCCGGGTAATTCCCTCCACATTTAGAAACAACGTGCGTTTAGAGTATTTGGCTCCTAGAAATCTCCACATGATAAGCCACTTCATGAAGCTATCATTTGTGGCTGGCTCGCTTCTGAGCCACCATTTTGTGGGCAGGCTATATAGCACAGTGGGCCTTACCCGAGTAAAAAAAAAAAAAAAAATTTGTCACCTGGGTCTCTTGCAGATGATTGTGCACGTCCTGGTGAGCCTTGCGCAGCTGCTTGCCTTCCTCCCGCAGCTTGTACATGTTTTCTACATGGCGACACGGGCAAAGAGCCGCTCGTTAAAAACGCAACGGCACGAGCAAGCACCTGTGTGTGAAACCCGCCGTGCCCCCTGCAGCATGCCAAGGACATAAACAAGCAGCAAGCGCAGTGCGAAAAAGGGAGCTTTATTATTCAAACGCAAAGCACAAAACGGTCGATTGTCGGGGACACATTCAAGCAATTTTGTCACATGGCCACGGTACCATCTCAACGTCACGCGAGGCCTTGTGCAGATGAGGGGAAGAGGGGCGCTCAGGAAAGACAGCGAGAGGCAAAGACAGCAAGAAGAAAGATACACACAGGGGGGCAGAGAAACAAATACCCACAGAGGCACATAGAGAGACAAACAACAGAGACAACAGGCACATATAATTTTTTTTGGGGGGGGGAGCCCTAAATAAATGGATCGCATGTGCACAAAGCACATGTAAACACGTAGATGGCACCATGTGGCCACCAGCAGCCACTCATGTGTCTACTCCTTTGCTAAAATTACATCTGGGCTCCATCAAACCAGCCTCCAAGGAGCAAAATCCATCCGGGGATTCAGTATATGAAATGCAGCGGGGAGGGAAACGCACTTCCTGATGCAAACGCTGCTTGACATCTGAAGCTCTGTGTCCAGCATAGGGTAGTGGTGAGGGGGACACTGCAACCACTCCACCTTTGTTTGCTAAGTGCCAGTGTTTGTTGACACACCCTCGTACCACACACTCACTTCCAGATGTCAGGTGCGGGAGTGTAAAAGTACCAAGTAGAGAGAGCTGTAAATAGAATGGGATAGAGAGCGCTGAACACAAGTTATGGAAGAGAAAAGTGCTAAGTGCTCTGTGTCGAGGGGCCCACGTGCTGTGGTGTAGGGTGCCGGACATAGCATAGCAACGGCAAACTGGGCGGAGGGTTCCAAGTAACAGGACTGCGAGACGCAAAGTGCTGCATCAAGATGTTTTTGCACCCTGTGTGTAATGTGCCGCATACGTGCTGCTATGTACGTGGAATGGTTTCTGAGTGGCAGGTGCTGAGTAAAGGACAGTGAATGGATGGTACTGGCAGTGGAAGGGAATATCAGCCGGTCAGTCAGTTTATCATGGGTAAGGTCCATAATATATTGAAGGCATAGGTAATGTGAGACCCATGAGCCAGGGGATAGGGGTGGTATCACATTGTATTTACTCGACTGCTTCGTATTCAATTGGCAGTACAGCAGGTGGCACTTTGCCTTCAAACTTCAAACCGGGTGACCCGAGTTTTTATTTACTTGGTACGAGCACACGAACGAACGCTCTCAAACGGGGAAGCTTTTTTTTCAGAGTGCCGCAGTTCCCTGGCTCAAAAATGTTGGGAGGAGCCGCCTGCCTAGGCTCAATTATACACTCCGTCGCCGATGGCGCTCAGCCCAGACAACAACAAGTCCACCGTGGAAGATGTCAAGCGTTAGACAATTCATTTAGACATGGGTGGAATGGTTGGGGGGGCAGGACAAGATGAGGCTCACGGTGTAGGGAGCTGATCTCGGTGTCCTTGTCTTGCTGCAGCTGCCCCAGCTCCTCTTGGTGCCGCTGCAGCGCTCGCTCGTGCGTCTCCTGCAGCACCGTGTGCTGCTCGTGGATGTCTGTGTACTGCTGCTTCAGCTCCTCGTGCTGCGACTGTTGTGGTTTACGCATACAATACATGTTTTGTCGTGGCGTTATATAAGCAGAACCCTTGTTCTTTTTCTATGCGTATCATGCATGTATGTTTAGTCCACCGGCTATATTGGCATTAATTCTAGATTTGAAGCTTTCGTGACTGCAAGGATTCATACTCTTAGGTTTTTTCGGTAAAGTCACGTAGGTGAAAATAAATAAAATAAAAATTAGAGAAATAATAATAGAAATAAAAATATAAATCGCGATGTTTCGGAGGCAACACAAGTCTCCGTCATCAGGTGGGACCGTCACAGCTAGATTTACTGTATCAAGTGAGGCAAAATACCAAGATACAAGTTCTTAAATACAAGTTAAGGGGGGAGGAGGGGGAGGGGCCAATGAATGGAATGTGTTGGGGGGGGGCTAAAAGAGAACAATAGGTGCACATTTTGTTGTTTTATATTGGCATTCCAGATGAGCAAGCACACAAAGGTGTGGAGGTTTGTATCCTCGGCCACTGGAACCCAATAGTTCCAGGTCTGGCCCAGCAGCATCACCAAGGCCTAGGTAAGTGTGCCCTCTGTGGGCCTCAATCACTGCTCTACAATTGGCCACCGCCAGCCTTTTTACCCTCCGTGCCAACTGCAGCTGGGGATGGAGGTCAGGAAGGGTTTGTTTAAACAAAACGTTTGCTTTAAACTTAGATCAATGTTTACATGCATGCGATTAGACTCCATTAGGATCCAGGCTCGCCAGACCCTGGCTATTTGAATTCCCACCGAGCCGGACCAAGTCAGAAAATAGTTTTAAAAAAATCTATAAATGTATTTAAAATTCCAGAGCATAGCAAATACCACACAATTATTTACATACGACATCATTTACAATGTTAAGACATAATAAGATGCACCACAAAATTCTATATTAAATGTACTTTAAATGAAACTGGATTAAATGTTCTTATATTGTAATACGTTAGCGGCAAGGGAGGAGCTGTAGAGGATGGTGGGAAGAGGTTATGGGGAGGGCCGAGTAGTGGGGGATGAGGGAGGAGTGGGGAGAGCAGCATACCCTCGGGTACCTTGGCTATAACGACCAGTACAAGCACAGTACACACATACGTACCGTACTTTTTTTTTGGTCTTTACAATCACACCCAACGCGTATACACTACACAAACTCATATTTATTACATACCGGCTCGACAAACACACTGTACAGGGATTTCGTTTTTTTCCCCCGCATTCATTTTAAATGCAGTCGTGGCTGACCAGACTTCATCTATCCGGACCAGGACCCCTCCTCTCTTCGTCCGGCTGGATGGGGCTTTACCGTGCTGCTAGTTAAAAATCTGGTCATTTTACCATCTTCTGCCATGCATTTTGACTGCGGACAGTGGCTGGAAAGTTGAACCAAGCGAGTTACATCACGGCGCGCGCCACTTGCTTGCCCGATCACCCAGAGCTATCGCGAGTGGTTCCAGGATCGGCCAGTGTGAAAGTGGCAGCGCCATGGTTATTCAACCGTACCAGGCAGCCGGGCCTGCCCCATCCTTCCTTGTTGATTGGTTTGGCTCAGGCGAACTACCGTAGGAATATGGCACTTAGCCTGGTCCGGCCTGGTTCAAGTAACCAAGCCAGCAGTTCTCAGTGGTCATGGAAACACGGCACGCTTGTTGACGTTTCACCAAACAATGCATGATGCATGGTTTCCGTTCTTATCATCCGATGCCAGCGGCTGGTTGCCTTAAACAGCTTTAACATGAAACGCTTAAAATAGAGCGTGCTGAGCTACACGACAAACAATTAGTGGAGCAGATAAGTAAATGTATTTTTTCAGGAATTATTTAAATGTTGATAGTCATGAAACTCGCGAGAGATATGAGAGATATTCAAAATCGTGTCTCTTTTCAGAAGAAAAGAGTGAGCCACTTGAAAATGACCATCACTTATTTATATTTTCACGACACAATTGGCCGAGTTGTCCAGTTTGGAAGATTACAGACCAGCATGGTAAAGTAGGGACAAATAGCCTCCTCGACGCCCATGGCACAGAGAAGCCCTCATCCAGCAGCGGATTGGCAAAGGGCTGTCCGTGTATGCGAGCTGAAGGTGTGCAGTGCCGGTTTGTTAGTCTCGCTTTCTCACCAGTCTGAGATGGCTCACCTTGAGGATCTGGTGCTGGGCATTGAGCGAGTTGTATCTGTTCAATGATTCTTGCTGTTGAAAACAACATGTGGATACACGCGCACGCGCACACACACGGTGGTAAGCACGAGTAGAACACACAAATAAAACCTAATATTAAAATAATAACGTACATCCAAACCACTACAGACAGTCCCAGGATTGCGGAAGACCCTTACGGAAATGTTCCCATAAATCATGTGAAATAAAATTCGGTACCTGGAAATGTTTGCGTTAGTTACGTAAGCGCAAGTAGTATAGCGCGTTTAGGTTGCGGATGAATACCGCGGAGTGAGGCGTCAGGCTGCCCGCCACTCGAACTTTACTAGGATCAAGGTAAATGAAATTTATCGTGATTACGGGGGAACATTTTACAGTTTCCGACATACGGAAAATTCGGGTTACCGATGGCTCTCGGGAACCGTACCCTTCCGTAACCCGGGGACTGTCTGTACTTTGTGGGAAGTCAACTCAACAATGGTTGCCCTTTGGAGGGACTGGCCACACCATGGGAATGTGGAATTTCCACTAACGAGATGAAAGCCACCCCAATGCTTTACTTTAAGCAGAGAGAAGCTTCAAAAATAATCATGACATTTGTCCCTAAAGCCACACGATGGTTCCTTATTTTTAAGCATGAATAAATAAATGGACCAATTAGAACCGAAACAACAAAACAAATTACAGCTCGCTCGCCAACATTGTAATGTGTGGTATAAAACCAGAACACGTGGTCATATATTTTGCACTTCAAAAGAAGTACATTCAGTTTTACTTGTGCGTGTACTTATCTGGGTATAATGTCAAGTTTAGCACCATTGTGACCCACACTTCCAGACTCTGATGTTTAGCGGTCATGCATAACTAATGCATTTTACCAACGTTTCATTTTATAGACAAGACAAAGATCCCCCGTATAGCCTGAAAAGACTTTTGGGGCAAGTGCTGTGAGCGAGTACCTAAGAAATGCCAGCACAGCAGACAAAGGGGGGGGGGGGGGTGGCCAGCACTATGCCTGGCCACCTTTGTCTCCCTAGTGGGAATGTGTACACATCACACCTGGTACTATTGTGAGGCTGAGTCGATCTAGGGGAGGCCCAGCAACAGTTCAGATAATCGTCTCTGATGCCAGCCATGAATGGGAGTCACGCTCGAGTTGCTGGGTTCCTCGTGCAGTGAGCCAACCACTGCACCACCACTCCCCGCATTCCCATTATAAGGACAGTCGCATTCACACTCACACGTGTGCTGAACTCTCTCCTTGCCTGATTATATCCCTGCCTCACGCCAATCCTCAAGCAACCTTTACAGGATCCACCTCCGCTACCCGTGGGTCAGGCTGTCCACAAGTGTGAATGTACTCCACACCACCAGCTGGGATGTGGCTCTTCTGCTGTGCACTGTATGACACCACAGCTAAACTTGCTGTAAAAGCAAAACCGAGTTTCCAAGAGAATGATTGCACTGCTCTCTAACAGCACTTGCCCCAACAGTCTGTTGAAGGCTACATGGGGGATCTTTGTTTTTTAGTGTGCCCTGGTGAAGATAAAACATGCTTCAGCATATTGTTCAGTACTGATGTAATTAAAAAAACACTAGGCAATATATTTTCAAAACACGGTTTACCAAACCATCGTTAATAGCCGTATGTGTGTACGCTGGTTTACTAAACCATCGTTAATAGCCATATGTGTGTACGCTGGTTTACTAAACCATCGTTAATAGCCGTATGTGTGTACGCTGGTTTACTAAACCATCATTAATAGCCATGTGTGTGCGCTGGTTTACTAAACCATCGTTAATAGCCATATGTGTGTACACTGGTTTACTAAACCATCGTTAATAGCCATGTGTGTGTACGCTGGTTTACTAAACCATCGTTAATAGCCATGTGTGTGTACGCTGGTTTACTAAACCATCGTTGATAGCCATATGTGTGTGCGCTGATTTACTAAACCATTGTTAATAGCCATATGTGTGTGCGCTGGTTTACCAAACCATCGTTAATAGCCATATGTATATTGAACTTCTTTCACAAAAATACGTAGCCAACCGTGCTAATCGGAGGTTTTGGGGGGAGGACAACAAAAAGCAGTTCTAAAGAAATGCGTTTTCAATTTAGAGACAATAATTATGATTTAGGAATGTGATATGATGGTTTAAAGCCCTCTGTTAATTCACTGCTGGATGAAGGTCTTCCCGCACCGTTGTCAGTCATGGAGGATGTTTGACCACTACTTCCCCACATTGGTCAGTGGGGGTTTGTGAAGGTGGGAGCCCAAGACCGAATTATATATCACTCACCACTAAAGTGAACCATGGCTGGGAATCAAACTCAGGTCCTCTGGGTGTCATAGCAAAGTGGGCTCACCACTGTGCCCACCACTCCACCCTCATATAAACATAATGACAGGAAAAATACATGATATAATCAATGCTTAGTTTGGCCCAACCTTCCATACAACTGGTGCTTATATACAACTAGAAAGCAGCCACGAAATTAATCACTAAAGCAGCAGGGGATGTTGGAGGCGAGTGGTCGGTGTGTGACACTATGGGTGCAGTACCTTATCCTTGCTCAGATTCTCCTGCACCTCCAGCTTGTAGAGCAGAAAATCTGCATTGCAAACAGAAAAAAAACCTCAATCAGATAATCCTTGGCACAAATAACACGCCCGCTAAGGCTGCAATCTCTGAGCTTTACTGCAGCAGTTTTGTAACCTTGGGTAAGTGATGCCGTAATGGACCGGAGCTATGCTCTCTAATCCGAGTGACTGGCGATCCACTCTGCATTCACAAAGGTTGAAATCCAGCACTACGGCATTTCAATGACCCCACTTACCTGCCCACTGGCCTGGTGTGGTGCTCGGGTAGAGTGCTTGATGCACAAGCACAACTCTGTGAGTTCAATTCAAGTTCAGGGGTAAATGCAACCCAGCATCCCTTGGGGGTCATGAAATTGAATACAGATTTGTTTGTAGTCCTATACAAACATGTGACCCTGTAATGAGATTGTGGAAGTTCTGCCACTGGTTCAGGGTCACCAAGCGACTTGATTGTTGGCCTGTTGCTCGTTTGAGTAGAGAGACTCTGTCTTGCCCAGTTGCACCTGCCGTTACGAGCGACACCTTTCCTTAGATGAATGTTGGGGCAAGTTCTGTTAGTGAGTGCCTACGAAGGTCAGAACGGCACGAGGGGATGATGACCAGCACCACGCCCGACCGTCTTTGTCTCTCCAGTAGTGATGCTTGCACACTGCACCAGGTACTCATTTAAGGCTGTAACCGCAGTGTTGGGTTTGCTATCATTTGTCACTGTTGATCAGCGAACCAGTCATGTGCAAAGTAGGTAGAAACCAGCACCTCCAGCAGACATGGCAATTACATGTGTCAAACGAGGACAAACCATTTGAGGAAGGGGGCAAGGTGGGGACAGTCTTAAAGAATAAGAAAAATGTTCACGGTTGTAAACGTCCAGCCTGGACATCTGCGGTTAAATGTTCCCCATGCATTTGGCTCGTGCCGTGAGTGCCAATAGCCGCCTGCACGGTGCTGCCAAATTCATCAAAGGCGGTCGTCTGCTGCCACACGTCGTGTTCCGTGCATGCGTCACGAGTCGCGCTATCTGCGGCGGTGGTGCCCCCCCACCCCCATGGCATGCCTGGCCCATCCCGTGTGTTCTTTATTCTTCGTTTGACGATCGGTCTCCGGTAACCAGACAAATGCCTGTGTGGGCCAGGAAGCAAGCAGTATGGTGCGCGTATTTATGCACGAGTACCGACGGGCCCATTTGCTCTGGGTGTGTCTCACTTCCAAAACTGGATAACAACTTGCTGTGCAAACCATTACTCAGACCGTCTCATGTTTGAGCATCGGTGGCCTAGCGCTGCGTTCTAAGCGACGTGCGTGCCGCCCCTCCGTGCGTGTTGCAGCCTGTCCCACACGTGCCTTGCTGCATGCACAAAACATTGAGATACATGTCATGATTTCTCAATTCATCGGCAAATCTTTTTTTACGGTTACGATAAATACATCGAGTGACGTGTACAAATGTATGCTGCATGTTTATTTGAACAAGATGGAACAAATAGGAGACAGTGGAAACGGCACAGGAAATGCAGGCATTATAAATGAGACAGTACAAACAATATAGCACATGACAAAATAAAACCGATGCTTCAGTTGAATCTTGACCACAATCATGGCAATTCATTGGAATGAGACAGGGATAATAAGGGAAGGAGAGTTCAGTCGAGCGGATCGGTACATGCCTACTTCCCATGCTACGCGGCCCTCGTGCCCAAGTATGCTCTGTGCATCACGCTTTGCAATTTGAACTTGCTAAGCCGTGATAATTGTTTTTTACCCTTCTATTTGGCAACAAAACTGACACCTTTTTTACAAGGAGTCATGTTTGCATTGACCACAATACCTGCAGTCGGAATGCAAACAAAAAACATAACTATAATCAATTTCAAGGACAGTGCATACATTATAATGTATGCACTGTCCTTGAAATTGATTGGTCCACACCCGAGACAGCTTTCTTTAGAGCCTAGTCTCACATGGTGTTGGACCAGATGACGCCAAAAGGTGCACAACTCAAGGACAATGAACCATCAGAGTATGAGAGCTGGAGGTAAGCATTCACACCATTTGGAACCTCATTTGCCAGTAACAAAATATGATCATTGGTTTTTTACCCTTTTATCTGGCAACAAAACTGACACCTTTTTTACAAGGAGTCATTAAAAAAAGATGCCAGTTTTTTTGCCAGATAAAAAGGTAAAAAAACAATTATCATATTTTGTTACTGGCAAATGAGGTTCCACTGGTTGCCAAGCCGTGTTATTTGTTTTTTGCTGCAAACACTACGCACTGTATGCATCATGTGCACTGTAGCCATTTGCCCCTAAGTGACGGTGCTGTCGCCACAGCGCATGTGCCAAGCTAGGTGCACTTTGAGTGCACTGTACAGACACACGCATACACACCTTCCTTGGTCTTCTTGTGGTCACCCCTCTCCCTCTGCAGGGACTTCTCCAGCCTGGAGCGATGCTCGTAAACCACTGCGGGAGAGACACATATCGGTTCACATAGCCCACTCAACCTCTGTGCATCGTTTAGCCAGGCCCGTGAAAACACGTGTGCATCTCAATCACATCAAAGCCACAACAAACATCAACATCTTGGGCACGATTTCTGATAAATATTAAGTCATGAACATGTGCCCAAATCACCCGAAATGTGCCTGATCTCATCATATTTCAGGAACTATGCAGGATTTGAGCCCGAACAGTGGAGTGGTCACCACCATGAATAAAACAGGTGTTATAGCCTGCGAGGGGATACATGTACACAATGCCATAAACACAGCTATGACCACAAATGTGTATTCTTTGAGAGAAAACGTCTGAGTGATTTGTTCCTGCTTAAACTTATCTGCGATGTCCTCTTTAACCACAGCTGTTTTTCATACCTTGATACTGCCAAAAAAGGTCCCATGATATGCATTCCTCTACGAACATTTAAGTACAACTTTTCTCTCTTTCAAAAGTTACACACTCAAAAAACTAACCTTGGGAAAAAAAGGCAATAACGTCGCCTTGCAAGCAATGACGTGTTTCTCTTTTTGGATCATGTCATCATTCCTATTGCCACGCGAAATGTTTTCATTTCAAGAAACCCAATGCACACGCCGTTGCCCAGGGTTTAAAAATCACAATGACCATTTCTATGGTGCAAGTCTTACACGATGCAATGAAGCTCTTCAAGAAATATGCTGGGGAAAAAACTTGGAAGCAATCGGCTTGCCAAGTTTTTTTTTAAAGAAACCGGCTGCAATAGCTCAGCTTCCTCGTGAAGCGCAGGTTTGAAATACAGCCCTATGACAATCCATAATTTGTCCATGGCGGTAGCCCATCTAAGCGCCTGGAGTGGCTTCAACTATGAATGTAATTGATGGAATAATTACATCCCTACTGGGTAAGCATCCGTGAACTAGGAGCTATTTAGTCGTAGAGTTGCGTACTCCTTCAAGCCAGCATGTCAGATCCCTAAAGAATAAAATACCTGCGAGCACAGTCATAACTCCCTGTGCAGTCCTCCCACGCGTGTTATCTCCAGGGATATATTAAGAGCTTTCTGCCGCTTGTTTAATTTAAACGAGTTTCGAATTAAATTAATCCCCCAGGGGCAGGCAGTCTCTACATCTCCAACACATTCCTTTGCAAGAATGTCACATGTACAAAGTGAACCCAAACACACCCCCAGTGTGAGCAGACAGCGGGCGTCTTTGCTTGTGTTTCATACCGCTCGACTTCCCGAAACGAGGTCACCGGCTACACAAAACCAATACGATGCTGAAAAATGGCATCATCCATCATCATGCTACACTTTCAGCTCAAGGTCCACCGTAATTAAATCACATAAGGGCAGTTCCACGATTTTGGATGTAGCATTTCGGACACTTTTTAAGGATGTGGGTGGTGGGAAGAGCGGGTGGCTCAGTGGATAGTGCACCGAGCTATTTTAACCCAGCGACCCAAATTGGATGCCCGGCCACGATTAATGTAAGTGGCGAGCGATATCTGAACTGTTTGTCCTGGGTGTCCACTTCACCAACCCGTGCGCTGACCAGCGTGGTGAAGTATGGTCAAACAAACCCCAATAACGATATAGTGCTGGCTGGCCTTCATCCAGCAGTGGATTAACAAAAGGGCAATACCAATAGTAGTATTGCTATTCAATATGGGCATAATTATGAGCATAACCATGAAGTGATTTTGAAATGAGCAAAGTATTTCAACCGATTAGGACCGTGAATTTGTTCATCTTTTTGGAAAAATGCTCATAAATGCCATGGTATAAAACATAGGAATTTTCCATCCACACGGTCATATTCCATGTAATGAGTCATATATTTTAATATACAGATATCGTGAACTGAAAAACAACATATTACATGTATTATGAGCATATATGAGAAAAGAACTCGCACATTTGTCAATAACACTACCTTATAGAGAAAAAGAATGTAATACTTAAAAATAAAAAGTATATAATACTATGAAGGTCAAATGGGCCTTTTTCACAGCTGAGTTTTTATTTATTCATTTGTGCACCACTGCCAAAGCACAATCACCAAATAGTAAGGAATACTCAGAAGATTTTGAAATTTTCACTGAGGTCTCATTTGTAGAAATGCCCTTCGCAATCAAACGAAAAATATGACATTGTGCGATATGGTGGTGGGTTTAACGACATTAATATTGATGCGATCTAACCCAAAAAAAACGTTATTGTGGATAATATAACACTGTAGTCCATCAGCCTATGGGCCTTGTGGATCAATGTATTCCACCACATTTGTTTAAAGATAAACTCCGGACCAGTTTAAACATTCCAAGTCTCATCTGCAGAGTACTGCCTGTTGGAGAGTCCACATTTTACTATTGAGACTCAGAAAGTTTTAAACTGGACCATAGTTTGCATGATTAAATAAATATTTCCGGAAAACATTGCTCCATATTGGCCCACGTCGGTGTGTATAGTATAGTTTGCAATGTATGGATATTTTAATAAAAGCTGCGAAAAAAATCATGTTGGGGAGTGCAATAAAAATGTAGTTTCCATTTTCTCCCAAAGAACACCAGCCGGGAAGTAGATATAAACCCACATCTCTCATTGCCTACCCACTGTTGCTTAAATACTATATAATCAAATAATGTACCATCTGTCAATAATGGATGAGCATCTGCCAATGGAGAACTGCACTGTGATAGTGAGCTTGAATCCCAATGGAAAAGCCACGAGCTCAAATTCAGTTCCATCATCCTCTCGGGGGTTTGCTATGGGAGGTCAACAGTGATCGGCTTACAAATAAGACTTGGCCCCAGCAAGGTAATATGGAATTATCGAGAATGGGGTTTGGGGTAGCCAGTGGTCATGAGCCATGGCGAATGCTCATTTGCAGGGCCGCTAAAAGGGCACCACGATGGTGAGATGTGAACTACCTCGCCTAGTATACAGGAAGTTGTGGGTTCGATCCCAGCCCTGACGCCTGTATATTTGGAGTTTGCATGTTCTCCCCGTGGTCACGTGGATTTTTCTCCACATCCTCTGATTCACCTCTGTTATTTACCATGAAAGATGAGACATTGCTCAGGTTTTTCACAAAGAATGTTTATATGCTAAAACATATTCTCCAGATGTCATATTATGGATATAATGACATAATTATGGATATGCAATTACCCTTTGCTTTATAATAGTCGTGTAAACATGCAGAGTGATGGTAATAGCGAGGTATGTATTATGCTCTGTTTTGTATACAGGGTGTATATAAGAAACTGTAAATGTGTTTGAATTACAGTATGCAGTATGTCAACAGTATATATTATTAAAGAAGGCCCATTGACCAAATTTGCTTTGCGTTTTACAATACGGTACTATAACTTGATTGTTGTGGCGAGATGTTAACTGCCTCGCCTGGTATACAGGAAGGGCACGGGTTTGATGCCGACCCTGACGCTTGCTGCATATTTGGAGTTTGCGGTGTCTCTTTCCCCATGGTCGCATGGATTTTTGTCCGGGTCCTCCGGTTTTTCCCTCCACATTTAAAATCAAGATCACGCGTTTAGAGTATTTGGCTGCTATACATTACCACGTGATAAGCCACTTCATTGGGCTATCATTTGTGGCCAAGTCACTTCTGATAAAGCTCAGTGGGCTATATCTGGTAAATAAAAAAAATAGTTAAAAGCTTTATAGTTTAACACGTTTTTGAAGGCCCAGGGAAAATCGTGGCCTCCTCTGAGGCCAACCTCGGCTCATTGTGAGGCCCCCTAGGACACGAGGCCTGGCACAGACTGCCTCACCTGCTGCCCCTTCACTACGGCCCAGCTCAACCATAGAGTTGGGCCCTCAACACTTTGACCTGGGACCTGATAAAGGTGAAGGAATAAGGATGGGACATGGTACGGTGAGACCTTACTGGGAATTACCTTCCAGGAGCTGCACCCTGCACCCCCCCCACGACCCACCATAGACACACACACACACACCTTGCAGACTTTTCCAAGAAACCAGGAGAAACGTGATCAAGCCTCCAGCAGCGGCATGATATAGTAATTGATGCCAGCACTGCTCAAACGCCACACATGTTTTATATTCCAAGATCACGCCCGTTTTGAAGCCGGCTTTATAAAGAAATTGGTTCCTAAGGAATAACAGGTTTCAAAAAAAGGAAGGTTTCGTTTATGTGAATGAGAGCACATTCATGCATAACAGAGCAAGGACTGTGTTTTGCATTTTATTTGGCAAAATGTGGTGCAGCATTGCACGTGTTGCAAGAATGATATTGACTTTGATGTTTTTGGATGAAGAAACTAATACAACTTTTTTTTTAATGTTGATATACATCACGAGATCTATACTGTTGCCTGTTGCTGCATAAGGCAGGTTGGTGCAATGTGTTAGATGGGTCATCTTGTGTAAGTGTAACGTGTGCGTGCAGCTCACTCACTTGTATTACAACCAATACATTACCATGTCATTCCCCAATTACCAAATATCTGTATTTAATTATGTATCAGCCACAGACGTTTTATCTAACGCATTGAAAACGACCCAATAAACGAAGCGAGCAATTTAACTATGTAGAACGTACAAGCTTCATCGGGTGCCATAGTGGTGAGATGTTAACTACCTTGCCTGGTATGCAGGAGGTCCTGAGTTCGATCCCGATGTTGGCGCCTGTACAATTGTAGTTTGCGTATTGTATCCCCGTGTTGTGTGGGGTTTTCTCCGGTCCCTCCACATTTAGAAGCAACATACATTTAGAGTATTTGGCTGCTATACATTTCCACATGATGATGATACACCACTTTGTTGAGCTATCATTGTCAGCTGGGTCGCTTCTAAAAAATAGCAATACAGCTCAACTGGCCATACATGGTAAAATTAAAGGCTTAGTTTTAGTTTAGTTATAAAAAACTATTTAATTTCTTTCAGTGGGACAAGTTGTGACCTGTTTAGTTCAAGAAATTGGGAAACAGACATCACGAAG